AGCTGTCGCTTCGAACTTCTCATGAACAATTCTTTTGTCCATGACATATGATGTGACGCATAGACACTCCACGGTATTTTCAACCAGTGTCTCTAAATGATACCCATTGCGTCTCACGTCTTTAAAACTCAGTAGATTCTTATTTGATCTACCGGATATCAATGCATTTTCAATATGCAAAGTGGTACCATTAGGCAACACTATTGTTGCGTTCCCGGAGCCATCTATTATTTCCGCGGAACCTGCTATGGTTTTAACTTGTGTCTTGCACAAAGTCACACTCGAGAAATATATTTTATTATTGAATATTGAGTGTGTAGTTGCACTATCGAGTAGGCAATAATCATATTTGTCCATATTTTTCATGTACGTGTATCAAAATCAGCTCGACCTCGGGTATTTATCCTCCAAGGGAGATATGTACATGTGGGTTTATTCAAAACAACTCAAGCTTGGGAATCACACCTTCCAAGAGAGATTTATATACAGTGGGTACAAAATAACCCAAAACCCTTAAATTTGGACTTGTGATTAATAGCCTCTAAGTTGGCTCTTGACGGGTTTTACCTCGTCTAGTGACTCTACGAGCTTCATGCTCGGAGATATATTTTCAGATATTTGGCCTTTAAATCGGCTTTTGATGGATATTATCACGTCTTGACTCAACGAGCTTCAGGCTCGGAGATATATTCAGATATTTGGCCTTTAAATCGGCTTTTGACGGATATTATCACGTCTTGACTCAACGAGCTTCAGGCTCGGAGATATATTCAGATATTTGGCCTTAAAATCGGCTTTTGACGGATATTATCACGTCTTGACTCAACGAGCTTCAGGCTCGGAGATATATTCAGATATTTGGCCTTTAAATCGGCTTTTGACGGATATTATCACGTCTTGACTCAACGAGCTTCAGGCTCGGAGATATATTTAGATATTTGGCCTTTAAATCGGCTTTTGACGGATATTATCACGTCTTGACTCAACGAGCTTCAGGCTCGGAGATATCTTCAGATATTTGGCCTTTAAATCGACTTTTGACGGATATTATCACGTCTTAACTCAACGAGCTTCAGGCTCGGAGTTATTTTCAGATATTGGCCTTTAAATCGGCTTTTGACGGAGATTATTGTTTCCCCAACTCCACGAGTTTTGTGCTCGGAGTTAATCTCATAGTCTCTAAATCGACCTTCAACTGAGATTATTATTTCTCCAACTCCACGAGCATCAGGCTCGGAGTTTATATCTTGGCCTCTAAGTCGGCCCACAGATCTGTTGATATATAGCACGTGCTTATAACACTTCTTGGGATCCACAAGCTTGCAAATATAAATTTCAGCAGCAATTCAACAAATAAATAAGCAATAGATTAATATACACGAATCCATCATATCCTTTGAGAAATGATAGCGTATAAAATACCGAAGTATTCGCTAATCATTCTCGTTTGTCTTTTCGACAATAGATCGAGGATCTGGATTTTCGTAAAATTAAATAGAAAGAAGAATACGAAAATAGCAAATCCCTATCGAGCAAAAACTCGTGCTGATAATGTGTTATAAAATAAACCCACTAACTATATAAGTTATGAATATATATACTGAATAAGCAATAATAATATTGCAATACATTAGCTGAATTGAGTAAATGAAACTGTAATGGAAAGAACTTGTATATTGCTATTGTGAAGAAAATCGAGAAAAGCTTTTGCAAGTCTTATCTCCTCTTTTATTCATTACCGAGATGTATTTATACAAAATAAATAGTAGCATTGTCATGCTAATTGGATAATATCTTCTACACAAGAGTGACACGTATTATACATGTCTTAGTCCATAAGAATAGTAGATATATATTATAATAATAGTAATAATAATTATTTAAGCCCAAATTAAATAAATGCACTCATGTGACTCCACCTACTAGACCACACTCATTAGTTAAATTATGGTTAATTAGTTGGCATTTTAAAAGTTGGTTACAACGTAATGAGAGCATAATAATACAATTTAATTTAAATATATACATGTGTCTTGTAGCTTCTGAAATCTACGGGTGTGCACGGTTCGGTCCAACTTGATTTTAAGCTAAAATAGATTGTGAATCAACTATTTTGGTTTTCTAAAGATAAAACCAAATGTGTCGGATTTATAACTGATATGTTTATTGGGGTAATCCAATGGACATACGATTTATTTTTTTACTGGGCCATGAGCCCAGTTTAGAAGTTATTACTATGAAGGTCCAATTACCTTCAAATAAGGTTTGAGCCCGATAAATTGATTTCGATTCAATCAAGAAAGTATAAATAGAACTTAAATCATTTAATCAAGGTACGTTTTATATATTCAAGCAATCCAACTATCACAATTCTCTCGACTACTTTCACGATCCAAGTATCTGACTTAAGCATCGGAGGCGATTCCGCCGGATCAACCCCCGACTTAGTTCACGTTTACTTTTTACGCAGGAATCTCAAGGTCATCTAGCACGTAATCAGTGAACGATTCATTTCTTCGACTAATTTACTGTAGGTGGTTAATAAGCATCATCATCATAATGGCTCCGTCTGTGGGAATCACCACTAGATCACGTGGCAGAGAGGATGTCGTTGGGACATCTGCACAGAGGGAGCATGACACAGCTACCAATCATCTGCCTCGTGAAGGTTCTGGCTTGCCGCTCCGCCCTCTTCCCCAAATTCAAGCTCCACCACAAAACCCTATAAAAGAGCCCCACCGGGAATTCAAGGGGAATAACATATTCCTGCTCGCCGAATAATTTAGATAACCAAAGAGGCCCTCTAACACATGATCGAGAAGGCTTCAGCTCGTGCTGCCACTGAAGTAGTGGCACGATACATCGCTGCAATGGGAGCTAATGCTCTTCCTGCAGCTCCATCTGGAGTATAACCATGAGCTAACATTCCTCATGTAGCTCCACCCGTAGCACAACCACCCCCATCACCACATGATAATGAAATCCACCCAGTTTGGTCGTCGGCATTCGGCATTCACTTCAGACCCTAGGTCTCTAATGCAGGCCCGAACCAACCAACATCGTCAATGCCCACCTTCAAGAGGCAATGCCTCTCATCAGCAAGCTCCTCCACCTGATGCTGGAGAGAAATAAATTAACAGTAGGATATCTCACCCGAATCCCCTTCCCCGAATAGCTAACCCTGTCGGTGGAGGAGTACCAGCTCTTGTGAGGCGCAATCCATTCACTGCTGACATAATTAATGAGGTACTACCTCAAGCAGTAAAGGTCTCGGGCTTGCTTCAGTTGACGGAACAACTGATCCACATGAACATATTGAGAAGTTTCACGCTATGACAAATCCATATGGCTCGACAGATGCGGCTATATGCAAGATGTTTCGCACGACACTCTAAAAAATAGTCATGACCTGGTTCAACTCATTGCCCACTGAATCAATTGAAACCTTGTCTCGATTATCCGAACATTTCGCCAACCAATTCGCCATCAACAAACAATATGCTAAAACTCCAACAAACTTGTTCAGTGTTGTACGAAGAGACAATGAGCCCCTTTGCAGCTACATCAAACGATTTGTGGAAGTCGTTCATAAAGTTCCCAGTGTGGGAGAAGAGATGCTCTCAGGTATCATACATCAGAATTTAAAAACAAATAGATTCAAGAAATTTATCGAAGAAAGGCCTCCAACCAGCTTGGAGGAACTGTTAAATCGCGCTGAGAAATTCGTGCGCATAGAGGAAGCATCCACACTTGCTCCTCCTAAGAGAAAGAGAGAGGATGATCGCCCCGACCCTCGACGTCGAGATCACCGACGTCCACCGCCACATCACATGGTCAATCCTCATCTTCCCACTCTCGTTACACTCCACTCAATACCCGCCTTACCGAAATCCTCCATGTAATAGAACATAAGGGTTTGGCGAGTCTCCACGCCCTATACATCCCAACGTAAACAACAAATGTCAGATCGATATTGCCATTTCCACGAAGACAAAGGACACACCACTGAAGAGTGTGAACAAATCAAGCTTGCAATCGAAAGGTTGATCAAACAGGGACACTTGAGCGAGTATATCGACAAGTCCCAAAATAAAAGACGTGAGGATCCCCCACGTCGATACAACAATCAAGAACAACATCAGCGTCGAAATGAGGGACCTCCTCGACACGATCGAGATGACGATGACAATCAACCCATTCGAGCCCAAGCCTTATTTGAAGGTGATTGGGTCTTCGTAGTAATAACTTCTAAACTGGGTCTGTGGCCCAATAAATAAATAAATAAATCGTAGGTCCATTGGACTGACCGAATAGGCATATCAATAACGGTTCGGTTAAATTCGGTTTTTGATTTTTCGGTTTGTATTCTTTTTTTTTTTTCTCGGTTTCGCAAAAACAAACTCTTCAAAACTAATAAGAAGTAAAAGATCAGGTAACGAGTGCTTAGAAAGTGCAGAATTGCATACGGGGACCATCGATATGTTCCCACATCAGAAAACCAATGCAATGAGAGTGGAAAGCCTCCAGAACATAACTAGACATTAACACATTTTTTCGACAAAACAAACAGCTGTGCAGTGAGCACAAATCGAACTATTCTTTCGCCTTTTACTAAAGTACGGAGTGCTCGCTGCAAGTAAACAACATACTCAAATTTTTGGAGGGTTCTTTCCATTTGTGGAAGCCAACAACAACAACTAAGTTGAATATTTTTATCTATTAGCTATCAATTAGAAAATTAGGCTAATCATAAGATTAATCTTCATGTTAATCTTGAATATATATTTCATGGAATATATTCTCATTTTCTTCAAGCAACTTTCATTCATATTTGTGAGTGTAGCAAGTATTATAATTTTTTTTAATCTTTTTCCAAATTTATCCCTTCATAATGACTAATGTCACCAAATAAAGAGTTAATATATTGTTTTTCAATTTTTTTTTTATAATGAAGGAACCCGTATCCGGGTGGAAAGTGCAATGGAAAAAAAAAGATTGAATTCATCAAGACTATTCAACCACTAAATTTTTATTACCTTCATCGCGCAAGCTTAAACTCAAACTCGGTTTTTTAAAGTTAACACGAAGAAATAGTTGATTTTCAATAAACTAAAATTCAAAACACCGTAAAAAACCAGCGAGTACGATTCACATGCTTCTCAAAGAGTACAAAACGGACCGTAAAAATAATTTAGGCTTCCCAACCCCTAAGCGAAGTGGCACGAGCAACGCGATTAACTCCCAAAGTAAAAGCACCCATTCGAAGGTTGCAGTTATGAGATTTACACATACTCTTGATATTATGGAATGCTTTCGTCATGTATCTCTTAAGCTCATGATTCACCTTCTCTTCTTCCCACATAAATCCTTGAATATTCTGCAACATGCAAACACAATACTTGTTACGTAAAGAAACCGACATATATTCGACGGAAAAAAATATGAAGATCTGATTACGTGGCATGAGTGTTAAGTAAAGATATGATTGAATGTTACCTGAACCCACTCAAAGTAACTAACTGTCACTCCTCCCGCGTTTGCATAAATATCAGGCAGAATTACGACTCCTTTTTTGAACAAAATCTGCAAAATTGTTCAACACTATGTCGTGAAAAAAATAAATTACATCGTAATAGTCGAAACTGATTAAAGAAAAGAGTTACCAAAAAAAAAACTGAACAAAAGTCGGGTACCTCATCAGCATCGGGATCGGTAGGATGATTTGCAGCTTCTATGATGAACTTAGCTCTCACACTTTCAGCATTTTCTCTTCAATCAAGAAAACAACAACAAAAAGTTCGGTAGAGTTAAGTAAGCGATTTAGTAAACTTAATCATTTATATAAAGAATCGGGATTCAGTATACGCATCAAACTATTCACAATCCGAGCTTCAACTTCTAGTACAACACAAGAGTAATAATCGATGGTTTTAAATCAAACATTAAAAAGAATTAGCAAAAAAAAAAAAGAAAGTTAATATTTCTGGCCAAAATAAAAATATCGAACCTGTTCAAAACTCCACCAAGAGCACATGGTATAAGAACATCACATTCATGAGTAAGCAACTCGTCTGAGGTATCGAATCCGCACCGACCTATCGGCTAATTTTCCGGTGGCATCTTTATGCTGAAGCAAAGCCGGTATATCGATTCCGTTTGGATTCTTCACAGCTCCAGTTATGTCACTTACTGCAACGACTTTGCCGCCTCTTTCGTGTATGATCTTTGCAGCCCACGATCCAACGTTTCCGAAGCCCTTACGTAGTAATATCGTAAATACGTAAAACACAGTTACTTTATTTCCCAAAAAAAATCGAAAAGGGGACAAAATTGTACAAAAAAATAGGAAATAAATAAATAAATAGATAAATACCTGAATGGCGAATGTTAAGCCCTTTATCGACTTTCCATGTTCAGCAAGTACTGCTTCGGTAGCGTACACGACACCTCGCCCTGTTGCAGCCTCCCTACCAAGCGAACCACCGAGATCCTAGCGTACCCAAAAAAAATATTTTACGAAAATATTCCCATTTTAATTCGTCTAATATTGTTGAATTAATTACTTCAATGTTTTTGAACTTACAATCGGCTTTCCTGTAACTACCGCAGGAGAATAACCGTGAAACTTTGAGTACTCATCCAAAATCCAAGCCATTGTCTGCACAAAGTCCAATAAAAATCGGGATTTTTTACATTCTTGCTCCGAAAAAATAGTCGACTAAAGTGATATTATGTTTCAAGAAAACAAGTAATAAATAGTTTTTTTCGTTTTAATAATAATAAGATTATGTCGTCACCTGAGCATTAGTACCCATATCGGGTGCAGGAACATCGGTGTTGACACCGATAAGATCGTGAATCTTTTGAGTGAAAACACGAGTAAGTCTTTCCAACTCACTCGTGCTTAGTTCTTTCGGCGTACAACCGATCCCGCCCTTAGCACCGCCGTACGGAATGTCCGCGACAGCTGTCTTCCACGTCATCAGTTGAGCAAGAGCATTCACTTCGTCCGGGTCCACCTATCGCAAACGAATTTGAGTAATTTCTGATCAATCGCAGTATTTCGCTGCTTTTAATATCGAAACACGCTTATACCAATCAATAAGGATTTGTGCATAAGCATCAAATACATAAGGATTACATACTTCATATAACATATATATCTATATGGAGAGAGAGAGAGAGAGAGAGAGAGAGAGAGAGAGAGAGAGAGAGAGAGAGAGAGAGAGAGAGGGGGAATGTGACCTCAGGATGGTATCTGATGCCTCCTTTCATGGGGCCACGAGAATTGTCATGTTGAACTCTAAATCCAACGTAGGAAACCAGTGTACCATCATCTTTTGGTATGGTGCACTCCACCTGATCACACCTCAATTGGGTTATTAAACCATCAGGAAAAATCCTCACGGAAATTCCCCACAAATCCAAATTCAATAAAACCTCGAAAAAAAGAAGATAAAATCATCGAAGCAAGACACAAAAAAAAAAAACCTTGATTTCTCTGAAGGGGATCAAAAGGCTTTTCTCAATTTTGGAGTCAAGGCCCAGAATACGAGCCGCTTGTCGGAAATTGCGGTTCGTCGCAGCAAGAGCATTCATCTTCCCCAATCTATTTCGATTCCGGAAAAACAAAATTAAAAATTAATCTTCAAAATCACGAACCAATTTTTTTTTTATTATTATAGAGAGAGAGAGTTAAGAATGTTAAAAGTCCCAATGCAAGTATAACATTGTCACTGGATCATGAGAATCTGAGGGTAAGCTGTGTGTATACATGTGTGTATGTATATATAGATATATATATCCGTGAGTTGTGGAGCGGGGGTGGGGGTGGGGTGGGGGTGGGGGTGGGGGTGGGTACGTACATGAAGATCACGAGGGCATGGGAGGATGGGGCTTGCTTCTGTGTGCGCAGTCAACTACTTCGACTCGCCAAACTCCCCTATTTTGAGGGAAAAGACTTGAGCCACGTGGCAACTATTTTTATTTCAATTTTCTAAAGTTAAATTACAAACTACCCCTTAGGTATGATTAAATTACAAAAACCCACCTCTTGTTTGGATAATTACAACCACCCCTCAACTCCTCAAATTTAGTGGAATCTTCGAGATTATATGGAATATTATCACTTTTGTATCCGTTTTATCCCATTCGAACTCTACATTTTGAAGCAAGATGATCATAATATGTGTTTTTTGGCTTGTAAATATATCAGATTGTGGGGCATCAAAAACTGTATTTTTACACAAAAAGAGTATAAAATAGAGCACATTTCACAAAACATAGATGATTATGTTGAATTTACACCATAAGAGTGGAGGTGTAAGAAAAATCATAGTTGATGGGTAAATGTAATTATCCAAACAATAGGATTTTTTTTGTAAATTGACCATACCTCAAGGGTGTTTGTAATTTACCCATTTTCTAAATACCCCTCAATTATTTAAATTATTTTTATTTTAAAAAGAAACTTTGACCTTAGAAAATAGTGTTATTATTATTATTATTATTATTTTTTAATTTTTAATATAATGATGAAATAAGCTATTAATTAAGGCGGCGGTTATATGCAAGTCCATTTTTTTATTAGTTCAAGACCTCCAACATAAAAATACTAATTTACCCTTTATGAAATTTAAAATCAAATAAAAAACACAAAACATTAAAAAATAAAAATAAAAAATAATTTTCTTTGTGCAAGACCAAATAAAATACACTCTTCCTTATTTCACGACTTAAAAATCTCTTCCTTCTTCTCCTTCTTCACAAACCCACCAAGAAATTCTACACATCGAAATTATCAAATACATACCAAACATTCACGATGGCACCAGAAACAATGATATGGTGGTTTACGAGGGTGGAGAACACAATGAAATATGTTTTAACCGTTTATTTTTGCTTTTGGGTCGCGTTTTTTGTTGGGAAAAAAATTCGACGATACAAAAAATCGGTCTGCAAATATCGATTTTTGTTACTAAAGTCGGTAACCACATTCCGATTATTTTAATAAAAATCGGTACTTAAAAACCGATTTTTGTAGTAAAAATCGGCATGACAACACCGATTTATTTTTGTATTATCGATATTGTCATGCCGACTTGTACTACAAAAATCGGTTTTTAAATACCGATTTTATTATTTGTGTTTTTTAAAGACCGTTTTCTCATACTTTCGTGCAGCAACCTAGGGGATTGATGGAGGATTATTCAAATGAATTATCTAACGAATAAATATTAGGCAATTTGTCTTTTCAGAGCTATCGCCCTAATAAAAAAAATATTCTTGTGATAGGGCACGGAAAGCTCTACTCGATTGGGTTAAAGGAGTTGGTCGACGCCACCGAATGGTGATAAGCATTTTCGTTTCAAATATTTAAAAAATATCCATTAACCAAATATATAATGTATTATTTAAAAAAAAATCCGAAAAATATCGGTATCCGAAAACCGATTTTGTACTCGATAATCGACATTAGAACGCCGATTTTGACTTGTAAAGTCGACGTTGTGTCGCCGATTTGGTTAACAAAAATCGGCATTATGACGCCGATTTTTGTGTACAAAATCGGTCTGGGTAAACCGATTTGGGAAACCAACGAAAAAAAAAAACCAATTTCAATCTCAATTTTTTTTTCCAAAATCGGCCAAATCATTGCAACCCAATAAGTAATAAGCATAGATTAATGTTCATTCATACATATGTATCAAGAATAGATGTTCGGTTTATGTTTTCGAATTTACAAATAAAAATTTAGTAAAAAGAACATCGATGCTCGATTAATGTTTTCGAATTTACAAACAAAAGTTTAGTAAAAAAGGACTCACTTGTTAGTGGTGGTAATGGTGCGGTGGGTGGGTCGCTGGTCATCGCCGGTGCGGTGGAAGTCTCGCTGGTCGGCGTCGCGGCGGTCTGGCGGCGGCAGTCGTGATTTTTTTTTTTTTTTTTTAATTTTTGGTCTTGAACAAATTAAAAATAGGATTTATTTGTATTTGAATATTATTTGTGGATAAGGGTATATTTGTCATCTTTGGTCTTGATGTAATAAAATTAGATTAATTTACAGGGTTTAACTAATAAACTCCTTTATGTGGTTTTGAAGTAATAAAAAATTGAGCTTGCATATAACCGCCGCCATTAATTAATGGAATATAAAATTACATGGGGGTAGGGGTAACATAGTCTTGGTAAACTCAAACTCAAATATCATTAAAAACTTAAATATTTGTTATTAAAAAGCTTTTGAATTCATTAAATTATTTTAAATATAATCTTTAGAAGAACTATAATGGATGAATGGAAGTTCAAAATTTATTTTATCACCAAAGTATTTTTGTGTGATAATTGTAGAAAAATATATCAAATAATGAACTTAATAAATATTTAAAATTTCTTATTTGATTGGGTTTTACTCAGGTTGAATCATAGTGAGCTCAAACTCGTCTCTTAAACTTTTCGAGTTTGATAAAATAGTTCAAACTCAACGACTCACAGTTAGTTAGGTTCCGCTCAAGATCGCAGGCTCGCAAAGATTGAAAATTTTCGATAGTAAACAATTAATTTATTCTTCAATTTCGAATGTACCTGGACTTTTCTTTCTCCAGATACGACGACGAATAACGGCAATACAGATAACATCAGCATAAATTCCGACGACGTTTTCAATTAGATAACTGAATAACAATAATAACATGTCCGAAACTGAACTAGGTAGGAAGCAAATAAAGTTCAATTTCTGTTGTGGTTCTTGTTGTAAGAAAATATAATCACCACTTTCCAAAATACTTTTATCATAAGCTGAAACAGAGGATCGATCAAACAACCACAGCCACTCGAACATGCCTACGACCTGCATAAATAGCTCGATCCATCAAAATTTATTTAGGTCGGACCAGAAATTTACTGAAATAACCAAAGCACCAAATAATATCCAATTATTTAATTACTCGCGAGTCATGACATATCTTCTCAACAAAACAAGAAAACCAAGTAGACGACACTCGACAGTGATAAAACGGGAATATAATCCGTGCCAATCAAAGAAACGACACACCTTAAAATATGCCTAATAATCATGTTATTTATAAAGCAGACATGTAAACACGTTAAACATAAACATCAACAATTCCAACTTACACAACACTTCTCTACAATTTTAAGCCGTTCTTATTGACTTACAAACAATTGAGAGTAACATGCGTTCAAAGTTTTGATGTAAAGATCAAGAAAAGTCAAATAGTAATTTATTCGGATATAGTTGTCGCAAATACCATTGCATCAAACTTGCACATACATCAAAAAAACCTAGGAACTAAGCTTCACCTCGACTAGTTTTATAACCGCAAAAACGTTGTGTTCCAGGACAATGTTGTAATCACCCATCTTTCCTGCTCAAAGTCATTAATGATCTTCATTAGCACGAAAGACCAATTTCATGTCATCTAATAGAAATATATATATATATATATATATATATATATATATATATATATATATATATATATATACATATATAGTCGAAAATAGGTTACTTTCGCTTTCTTCTATCAATCCCGCTATTTCTTAGGTCATTCTTCACAAAGTTAGATCCAGGTCCAGTACCAAACTGCATCTGCGAAGGAGCTTGTGGAGCGGCTGTAGAAGGAATAGGAGGCGGAGCACTGGCGGCAGCTGCTGTAACGGTGGTGGATGGCAAAGCTGGAACGGAAGGTACACTAGAAGGTTCCGGAAGTGTCTTTGGTAGTATGTGCTTCAGTCGGTTGTTTCTATAGTTCTTCCAAAAGTAAAATTGCTGCCTATGTGCCAATTCCTATAAGCTCAAAATACCAAATAACACCGATTATATCCTAAACGAGATTAATTGCATCAACAATTCGAAATTTGCGAATCAAAGAATAAACCTTGTTCGCGGGATGCGCCATTGCGCTTCGGTAGTTTGGATTTTGGAGAAGTTCGAGAAAGTAGAGGCAATGAGGATACCTAACAAGAATACCAGAAACAATATCTAAAATTCATAGGCGAAACTTTTTGTATGAGAAAGAAAACGAGAGAAACATAACCGTAAGCAGTAAATTCGATTCGGAGAACATTAAGCTCACATTATAAACTTCAAGTACTCGGGCCTTTGCCAATACTGAAGATATTTCAGGTACCCAATAAATGCTTCATCTTCAAAATACCGATTTTGAGCCAAGTCTGCACCAATTTAAGGGCACAAATCAACTTACACAGAATCCAATCAGCAAAACGCATAAAAACAAAAGTAGCAAGAAACCAGGGGAGGAAATCGGAATGGAATCTCCGAATTCTGCCAATCCCGATCTGAAAAAATCTGAATTTGGAAAGTTGTAAACTAATGTAATTTCCGAAATTCCGTCGATTCCAAAATCGGAATGAATTTTTGCATTCCGATTTTTTTGGAACGGAAATTGGAAACACATTTTTTACTACCGAAAAAAATTTGAAATTTTCGGAAAAAGCCATTTCCAATCCATTCCGCCGGATTTCCACCCCTACAAGAAACTAATAAATACTAGTCTACTAGCACATTAGCAAAAAAAGAAAAAAAAAAAAACTTACAGTGAATGTAAGTAGGATTAGCAAGGCACTGAATAAATTCCAGCTCAAGCAAGAAGCGCTGGCGGCCATCATCCGGATCTTTATATTTATTTTCAGATTTTGGACTGCAAACATAACAAATTTTCGTGAAATATCACAAGCAATTCGGAAATGGAAGAGAAGCATTCGTTTGGGGTTTAGGGCTTACGAGGAAGACGGCGTATCTAATAGTTCCATCGGAGAATCTTCATCGGAAGTCATGGAATCCGTGTGGCGAGGAGGATCACATGAGCTTATTTAGGGCTTTTTGCAATTGCAATGAAATTTTGGGGGAAAATCGTGGTTGGAAATTTGGGTAATTTTATTTGCTTTTGAAATTAGATTAATCCATTTATTTTGAAAAAAAAAGGAAAAAGAAAAAGGGAAAACCGACCCGTATTCTAAGAGGGGCGGGCCCCGGAAAGGAAGAAAAAACGACCGGGTCATGCACGAGTTTCGACTTCAATTAACCCTTGAACCCGGCCCAATTTAATAGCTTCTTCTCTCAAGATAAATATAAGGGTAAATTACAACCACCCTGATATATGGTCAAATTACGAAAAATATTCTTCATATTTGGGTACAATCATCCTCTCAACTATGAATTTTCTTACACGTCCACCCTTATAGTATTAAATTAAATATAATCTTCTAGATTTCGTGAAATGTTCTCTAGTTTGTACTCGTTTTGTACAAAAATGCAGTTTATGAGGCACCACAATCTGATATATACAAGCCAAAAACACATCTTATGATCATCTTGCTTCAAATGTGGAACTCGAATCTGATAAACGGTACAAACTTGAGAATATTCCATATAATTTAGAAGATTATACTAAATTTGACACCGCAATGATTGACATGTAAGAAAATTCATAATATATAGGTAGTTGTAATTATCCAAACATAAAAGGGGTTTTTAATTTGATGAATCAAAGTCAACTTACGTGGTCCTATAATAGCAACGAAATAAAAGAGATTTAAACCATCCATCACCAAACCTCATCGTAGGATATATTCCAATACCACTGTGGCTAAGTTTTGGTGATAAGATATATCATTTCGATACCTTAACATTCATGAGAAAATAATAACATTATGCATCTTTAAAATGTGATAAATTGTGTTGTATGCATCCCGATTAACTGTTTTTTTTTTGTTTAATCGATAGCGTAATCAGTGGCGGAGCCAGAACTAAAGATTGCACGTAGGTGTCTGGGGCAGTGCCTCAAATTTTTTAGTAGTTGTTCATAGAAGAATAACACAAAATAAATAAATAAATATTTGTATATTTTAATTAAAATTTTACGCCACGTAATGTTTATCTTTTTAGTATCATTTTTTTTTTTTTTTTTGAGTAAATTCAAGTCCATTACAAGGGGAAGTAGGGGAGGGAGGGACTCGAACCCTAGACCATTACCCTATTGGTAAAGGCTAGGTACCAACTCTCCTAATGAGGGTTGGTATCATTTTGTTTTTCGATGTACATTATCTCAAATTAAAATTTGGGTAAATTACAAACACCTTCCTGGAGGTATGGTCAAATTACAAAAATCCCCCTCTTGTTTGGATAATTACATACCCCCCTCAACGATGATTTTTTTTACACCTCCACCCTTATTGTGCCAAATTCAACATAATCATCTAGATTCTGTGGAATGTGCTCTAGTTTGTACTCGTTTTGTGTAAAAATACAGTTTACGATGCACCACAAACTGATATATACAAGATAAAAATCACATATTATGATTATCTTGCTTCATAATGTAGAGTTTGAATGGGATAAAACGGGTACACAAGTGATAATATTCCATATAATCTCGAAGATTCCACTAAATTTGAGGAGTTGAGGGAGTGGTTGTAATTATCCAAACAAGAGGGGTGTTTTTGTAATTTGACCATACCTCAGGGGGGTGTTTGTAATTTACCCTTAAAATTTTCATCTTCGCTATCACAACAAAGTGAAAAAAATAATAATCTTGCAACACGATATTTGTGCAGATATTTGTAACTTGGTACGTGGTATTTGTAGTGTTCTATATGGCAACTTTTTATACAATATTGTATACAAACCAAAATTTATAAACTTAGACTTTTTTGGGAACATATTCATTCCATTTTGAGAACATGTTTTGAGAAAGAATTTGAGAACTAAAGTAATGTTTTTTTTTTTTTTTTTTTTTTTGGTAATGAAGGAACCCGCAGTCAAAACCATATATGTGCAGTGAGTAAACTTACACTTTCATATGATAGTTTGTAAACTATACAAGAAACGTAAAACACACTAAATTGAAATGAAAATGAAAACTGCAACGCATTAGTAACTTCGGCTTTCTCCACATCCCAAACTTTATCTATGGTAAATTTGTCCTATGAAATATTAGAGGATTTTAAGCATGAATAATTATGACGATATAAGTAACTTCGACCTTATCCCTAACCCTAACCTTACCCCTATCCCTATCCCTATCCCTATCTCAAACTCCATCAGAAATAAATTTGTCCTATGAAATTTAAGAGGGCTTTAAGCAAATAGTTAAATAGAAATGTCCCTATGCGAAAGACAATTAGGCTTGCATGTGTGTGTCAAAAGTGCTCCTAAAAATTAAGAAATTAACAACTGCATACAAGTGAAAAAAAACATTTGAAAAGTAATATCTAAACCATTGCATACTATTTGCATGATAATAATTTGAAAATTAAGTATTTTATTGAATCAATGAGGCCATAAGTTGTAGACTGATTGAAGGCCGAAACTAGACCAAAATTCGACAAAAATGGTCTAAAAAATGTTGACTGCTAGAGTAGAAAATGTCTTCACTTAAAAGCAAAAAACATCACTTTATTTTTCAAATTCTTCTTCTAAAATACAATTTTCTGACACATTTAAATATGATTTAACTGCTGCTACAGTGTATTTTGTCTCATCTCAAATTTTTATTTTATTTTCTCAAAACACATTTGCCTAAAATAAAATAAAAAATAACTCACCAAAACAATTCCAAACATTGCCTAAGCAACCACATAAAAGAAAACTCTACAGAAAAATGGTGCAATATTTTGCCTATTAAAAACTAAATCATACTATGCCATGCATGATGTGCAACAAATTGATGTAATGATGATGCAGCAAATAATTGTAAGAAATGGAACATGAGATAATGACTATAATAAAATCCTCTGGCTATTTTCTATATGAAGTTGCAATTTCATGCAAGCTAATAGCACAACATTGTTTTAGCTAATACAAGAAGTTCCAATTATCAAACACTAAATTTTTTCTGCCTATTGGCATGCATGCATTCACAGTATATGGTGTCTTTTTTTTTGGTTTTTCAAAGTAAAAGATGTAGTTCTATGGGAAAGACCGAAAAGATTTATATATGTAAAGCTATATCGCGACCTTTTCCCCACCATCTAACTGCATGCCAACAACTAGGGAAGCTTCGATCAGTACGGCATATAGCGCATAGGACGCCTAAACCTCGGAAAACTCCTGCACACGGAACAAAAATGTGACATCATGATTCAGTTATTACATCAGCGTACAAATCAAAACACACCAATTGGTTACAAAGATTGAAGCTGAATTATGTATCAGACTAACAAAATGTATGGAGTTACAATTAGTTTCATGTCACTCAAATTCAATTTCTGTTCGACACAAAATACTCACAAAAACAAATAAATGGCGGAAGGAGACGAGAGAAATGTGATAGTGGTTAAAGATGGTTTTTAAAGATGGAGGAAATTTCAAACTACTATTTGAGCAGGACATGTGAAACAAACCTCAATTTATAGGAGACAACCACCACAACAGATTATTAAACATTTGAAGGATAATTTCGATTATATGACATTATCCCAAATGAACGGAAAGAGAAAAAGAAGTTGTAATATGCTTACCCATAACCATAAGGAACGTACATCGGTGGTCCAGGCATGAAAGGCCTTCTTGATGGACGTCTCCCGCGAAATTGCTTCATTCCAGGTACATTAGTTCGCTTAGCAGAAACCTGTTCAATGTCAAATATATAATTCTTGTTAGGACAAAGTAAATATCCATTTACTTATTATTTTAAGACAAAGACAAAGATTAGGAACCTTAAGCTGACGGCCATGCAGCTCAGTTTCATTTAGCAGCAGAGCATTTTGAACAGCCTCAACTTCCACAAACTCTACATAAGCAAAACCTTTGGGCTGACCAAACTTATCGGTCAGAATAGTAACCCTGTTCACAGTCCCACAAGACTGAAAATGCTGCTGCACCTCCTCAGGTGTGCATGCATAGTCGACCTGTAATTGGAGAGGGAAACATCAGCTTACAGCTTAATGATAAATGTACACCGGACACACAATTTTTGATTCTGACAAGAAATCATGTCATTTTATGTTTCAACCAGTTATTATATCTTGTTTCACTTTATATCAACTATCAAAGCATAAATGTAATGAAAAAGAATCCGTTCTGAATGAAGAAAAGGGACAAGAAACTCACGTTGCCAACATAAATGGAACGAGAATCCACCTCCTCCTTCTCAGCCTGGGTAACAGAGGCACCAGTTGCATCTTCTGACAAGCCAAAAGAAGAAGAAAGATTTTGTTAATCAATAGTTTAATGACATTCTAGTTAATGATTGAGAACCGGTGTCAGAGTATAAAAGAGTGAGACTGAATGAACTACTAAGAATAATGAATGAGCTCCAAGATATTCCCACAAATAAAAAAAAGCATTAGCGAGCAATAATATATAGCCTCCAAAAAATGTACATGCATTTGTCACCTCGTAATTCAGGATTTTACGACAAACAAAAAGCATTCGAAAGCAATAATATATAGCCTCCAAAACAGGTACATGCATTTATCACTTTGCAATTCAATACTACAGTTTTTTATTGCTTCCCAAAAAATAAAATCTAAACCAACACTTTGCGTGAAAATCGAGCTATTTCTTCAAGTATTTGTGTTTTGTGTAATTGAAATGCCTCGAGTTCACATTCAGACTCAGGTTTTATATCTAATAACTGCACTGTGAATGTCTGAATAAGGAAAAATCTGATGGACACGATAGATGTCAATAATTGAGATATACGGTTTATGACTCTTTATTGAAAATATACAAAAATAAGCATGTAGTTATATATACACCAAAATCATGTATCTATTTTATCTTCGGCATAACAATAATGTACTTAATAGAAAATCGTATTACTCCGTGTTTAGGTTATATTTACTCCATATTCCATAATAGAAGCAATAAAGTCAAAGATTCGACAAAAGTGATCCTGACAAATGTCGTCTACTACGACATATCAGGATTCCGACAGCAAAGCTAAACAAGTCTCCACGTGTTGTGGCAACTACAGAATCACGAGACATTTGTTTGACGCTCAATGAATTCGCATTAATAAAGTATCTCACACTTACGATAAAAACAAAAAACCACTTTCAATTTATACAACACTTAAAAGGCGGGATTCAACGGATCCGACAAATCTTAAACATATTAAATATCACAACGTCTCCATTTGTCAAAAAATCACATTTATCGACACAGTTCATGCAATTAAGTTCCTTCTAGGCTCAATCCAATTCACAGTTTCTATATCGGTGACCAAATTGAAAGTTTTACCCCTTTTTTATAATTAAATGAACACATTAAACACACGATTTCTGCCAATCAAGAACTCATCTAAAACAAATACAGATCAAAAATTGAAACCATGCATAAAATCAAATCTTTAAAAAAATAAACCAAGATAACCATCAACTATACAAATGCATGTGCTCAGAGTAATCGAAGACAACCTTCAGCATTGCCTAGCTGTTTCTCGACTTTCGCCTGCATTTGTCGAAGCTCCCCTGCCTCTTCCTCAATCTCCTGCAGCCTCTTCTTCATACCCTCCAGCTCCTACAAAATTAAAACCCTAGAAAAATCAGACACATACTCCTATAGGTTATATCTCAATTTTTTTTGCATCGGCGCGTGTAAATCAATACAAATGGCGTATATATGCACACATATCAAATAAATCTCAACGGCCACACACACAAACAATTACACACCTTAGCTTTGGAATCGTCGCCTCCGGCGGCGGCGGCGGCGGTAGCGGCGGCTTCGGCAGATAAGTCAAAATCAGATTCCATGTAGGAATCCTCAGACTGAGGCAGCTCACCGCCGTAAACATCGTCGTCTTGTTCGTGCTGTCCTTGGTACTCCATATCTCAGTCGCTCTCCGATGTATATGTATATGTGTATATCTGTGTGTGTATGTAAATTCTCTCTCTCTACAGCTGATGCGTATATGTATACATGTATGTATATGCAAGGGTTTGTGGTTTGGTACAGGATTTGGGGTTTTTTGGCAAAAAAAAATTAATTCGCTGTGTGCTTTTTTGGGGGGGGCTGGTTTTTTTTGCTGTGTGAAAGCGGATTCGAAATATGTGTGTGTGGGGAGAAAGGGGTGAGAAGCGGAGAGAGGTACAAATGAATGAAACCGCCGCTTTTATACTTTGGATTAACCCCTAATCCCTTTTTTTCTTTGGGTTGTACCTTTCCCAGGGTTTCCGTCTTCTCGCTCGATTTACGCTTCTAGAGGTGTACTTTCATGTAGGGGGGTTTGAAATTGGCATGTAATTTTCCAATTTCTCAATTTTGATTTGAATTTTTTTTTTTAATTTTCGAATAATTTTTCGTTCTAAATTTTAATTTTTATCATTTTTTCAATCGGAATTTGAATTTACTAGGGACGGAAATTGGAATGAAATTTATGAATGCCGCCGGTTCCGTCCGGTCAGAAAATATCAACATGTGGAACCACCTTTTGAATTCCGATTTCCAATATTCCAACTTCCAATTTTTTCGATTTTTTTTTGGAACGAAATTGAAATTTTATATTAAACAACTGGAAATTTTGATCTCCGATTCTATTTTAGTTCCGAATATTCTAATTTTTTTCCGAAAGTTATAATATTTTATTTTATTTATATATATATATATATATATATATATATATATATATATATATATATATATATATATATATATATATATGTAAAAAAATTTAAAGACATATTTTAAAATGCTTAGATATATTTTATATGAATAATATAAATATCCAAGGACCAAGTAAATTAAAACCCTGGAAAAAATTAGTAGCGAACTGGTTGTTGCATTTTTTTTAAAAACTCTTATGCATTTTGTTGTTCCTTGGAACATTTTTATTGCTTTTGTTGAACTCCCTTTGAATTTTCTTGTATTTTGCTACATTTTTTTATAAAAATAGAAAAAGTTTCTAAAAAATCATGTTATATGTGAATTTGGAACGATAAATTATAAAATAATGCGATTTCTGAAACTTTCGAAATTCTGCCAATTCTGATTTTGGAAAGTCAATGTAATTATATTACTGTTGTTGACGGTAAAATTACTGTAAACACAATAATATTATTGTCAACCACATCAATATTATTTGTTTTTTGTTTTTTGTTTTGTTTGATTTGTTGATTAACGTAATAATATTACTGTCTACAATTATAATATTACTGTAAACACATAATAATGTGGACTCCTTTATGGATAGGTATGACCATACCTATCCATAAAGGAGTCCACATATTATCGCAACCACAATAAGTAATTAAAAAAAAAATACATAAGTAATTAAAAAACATGATATTATTTTATTTTCATAATTATGTGATCATTTATTCCCATACAATGTCTGAAATCATATATCTTCATTTTCACAAGGTGGTCATTTGAACTTTTGCATATTCATTTTTAAGAGATACATGTTTAAGACATAAGTTAATATGTGGAAAAATACAATTTGCGGACCTCACATTTGTATTGATTTTACATTTGGTTATCCATGTTTACAAAAATCACCTTTGGTCCATCATGTTTTAAAAGTTCAATACTTTTAGTTATTTTCGTTAGCACTAACGGAATGTAGCGTGTGTTTTTTACTGATTAACAGACAGACTAACAGTAAATTAACGAAAATGACCAAAAATATTAAATTATTGAAACATGGGGAGACCAAATGTGTTTTTTTGTGAACATGTGAGACTAAATGTGAAATCGGCACAAACTTGAGATATATATGCAAACTGTAATTTTTCCGCTAATAAGTTCAAAAATTAATTAATGTGTTTTTGCAAACTTATTACCGAAAGAGTTCCTATATTACAACATTTATGGTGTAATAATGTTCTCCGGTTATAAAATTAAAAGATAATACACTAGTAAACGTGCCTTCCTTTTTTTTTCATTTTTTTTTTAATTTTTTAGAGAGAAACATCCTTCCGAATATGATCTGCAAAATTCATACATGTTTGTGTGTTGTTATTCGTTCCAAAATACTTCTATCTAAATTTTGGTTCCAAATATAACAATTGAAAAATAATACATAAGTAATTAAAAAAAAAAATGAGACAATAAGTATATTATAGATATATTTAAGAGTCCATTACAAATGAGCACATCATCCATACGTATGAGACAGCAATAGGTTTACAATTAGTTTTTATTCATGTTTTTTTTTTTTTTTTTTTTGTGTAACAAAATAAATTAACAAGAATAAAATGTATTAAAACAATAGCAACACAGGTATAAAATGTAATAAAATATATTTTTGTCCATCCACATTATTTTTGTTCATCTTCTTTTTCATAAAAAGAGTTTTGAAAATATAGTGTTGCCCGAACCAGGGAATGTGAACCAATGTCCGAAATAAATAAAATTCTTTATTTTTTTATATTGTGAACTAAATTACTTGAAAAACGTTACTTTCGGTACAATACGATATTTTAATTTGTATAAATTATATCGATTATGGAATTTATGGCGTCCGATCCATACCCTACAACGAAAATAACAAATTGATACGTTCTTATTAGCTCCTTTCGTTTTTCGATTTTGAGGTTCTTCAACTGATTGTTTTTGAGTTGGTTTTAATTGTTCTTGAGCTTCGGTGCACCCAAAAATTCTGCATGTTTTCCATTTATTTTAAGCTTTTTGATGAGGATGGATGATGCATCGACATTGTCTGAGACTATAACTTTGCCATATTATAAATATACCTTTCATGTTTAGTAAACCCCATCCGATTATCCATTGACGGTTATGTACTTTTATACGAGATTGTCGTAAAACAAAGGATGTGATAAATGTCGTTCGAGTTTTAATATTACCGTTTCGATTTCAAACGCGATTTTGATCATTTTTAATTCCAAATTTTGCAAACTCGAAAATTAGAATTTGTAGTATAACGAGTTAGTTTTCTAATCCAATTTGAACACCAAAATTGGATGTCGGACGAGAAAGATATACATGAAATTAATGGATACTGCCCACAACTTTGATGTATTGAGGTGTCTAAAATTCAAAATGTGACTCATTCATGCATAACTTTGTCACACGGCATCCAATCTAGCGTATTTAAGTTGCATTAGAAAGCTAACCCAAAGGACTACAGTTTTCGTGTTTCGAATTTTGCCCAAATTAAAATAGAAATATATCAAAATCAGTGTTGAAGTTCAAAACGACTCGGTACATAGACACAAAGACCACAACTATTTTATAAAGCTGAAATGTTAAATGTCGTTTCAATTTTACTAATGACTTCGAACCTGATTTTTCTATATTTCTATTTTGATTTTGGAAAAATTTGAAACACGAAAACTGTAGTCATTTGGGTTAGCTTTCTAATCCGATTTAAATCCGCTAGATTGGATGTCGTGTGACAAAGTTATGCATGAATGAGTCACATTTTGAATTTTAGATATCTCAATACATCAAAGTTGTGGGCAACATCCATTGATTCATGTATATCTTTCTCCTCCGACATCCAATTTTGGTGATTCAAGTTGTATTAGAAAACTAACTCACAATACTACAAATTCTATTTTTCGAGTTTTGCAAAATTTGGAATAAAAAATGATCAAAATCACGTTTGAAGTTGTAACGGTATTATTATCAACACACTTATCTTAAATTATGCAAAAAAAAAAAAAAAAAAAAAAAAAAAAAAAAAAAAAAATCATCTTACTCACAGTTACAGCATAATTTAAAAATAACTCTTAAAGAATTACTAATACTTTAAAACAAAATTAAGTTTTAATAGAGACGAATAATTTGGACATGTATAAACGTAATAAATTGAAGCTACAATGACAATGGATTTAATACCATAAAAGAGACACAATAACCATTACCATTTTAACATTTCACATACCATAATCATACCAAACTTATTTAAAATTTTAAATGAAGCATCGTAATCATTTCCACCAATATTCAGATATTCACATGCAACAAGTTACCGGCTATTTCTATGCTACACCCGGTGAAGATTACATCGGGTGATCTTTTACTGTTGATTTACACACACCAATGTGGGTGTGTGTGTTTGTGTGTATATAAATGACAAACATCTACCCGATGTAGCATAAAATAGACTCAAGTTACCATTTAAATTGCAAAAGAAAAATGAGTTTTAAATAATTGAATAACTCAATTAAATTTTACTATATCAAATCATGTAAAAATTTTACAAAAAAAAAAAATCATGTAAAAATTGATCTTTTACTTTGGCCGAACTCCAAATGTGGTCTTGAATTATATCGGGTTCAGGATTAATGTCTTTATTTTTTAACAATGTAAGGAATACGATTATAAGAATAATAATTTAATATTAACATATGTAAGGAAATACAAACAAGCATTTGAAATAACATAAGAATTTAAAGGTGGAAATTGAATAAATAGGGAGTACGGTTAGGGGATAAATAAAGTGAGTTAGAAAATAAAAATATAAGTGGATGATAGTGTTGAAAAAACAATTATTGAAGAGTGCGCAATGTTTTGAAAATCAATTCGCACATCGACTCGAAGTAGTTACTGCACCGTGATTTGACCGGTTCAACTAAGGTTCAATCAAGTTATTTTTATTTTTTAATTATGGGTTAATGAGACAAAACATCCTCATTAAGAAAAATATTAGAACTAACCACCCCTCATTATTTTTAATAAGTCAAACCCCCTCCATTAGTGTCATACCAATACTACCCTCACATTTTGTATTAGAAATCAGCCCCCCACCATCTCTACCTGAACTACGGAATTCATATCAAATATTCATGGGAAAAAAAATCTCTCCCCCCTAAATCACGGCAATATGTAGAATATCATCCCAATAATTCGCTAAAATCTGCCCATGATCTATGGCCTTCGGTGGAACCCTAGTTTTCTTCATTTGTTGGAAAAAAAATCACAAACGTGTGAATCGAGGAGAAGCAGACACAAAAACATGGTGAAATCAAAAAAATCGAATAAAGGTAGGCTGCTATGAAATCCGTTTTTCCTACAACATATAATTAGATTTCTCTGTTTTATGTCATAATACGACATATTTCCATTTTTTTTTTGTTTTCAATTTCAACGACTATGAAGACTGCAAATATTTATCTGTAGTTCACTAAAAACTTCGTAGTTCACTATAAACTTCGTAGTTCACTATATTGTTGCCAGAGTCAACTATAAAATCGGATAGTTCACTATATTTTTTCCAGAGTCAACTATAAAAATTAGATAGTTAACTATAATTTTTACGATGTCAACTATAAAAAATTGGTAGTTAACTATATTGTTGCCAGAGTTCTACAAAAATTGGATAGTCAACTACAATTGTTCCGATGTCAACTATAAAAAATTGGTAGTCAACTATAGTTTTCCATTAATTCACTATATTATATTTCAATTTAAGATACTATGGTGTTATAAAATGAGATGAGATGTAGAAGAAAAGATAAAGTATTGAGAAAATATAGAGAAACTAAAGAGAAAAAATGAAACAGACGAGAACAGAGGAAATGAGGGAAGAGAAAGGAGAGAGAGAGAAGAGAGGAAATTGTGGAAGAGAGAGAATAGAGAGAAGATAGGAGAGAAGAGAGAGAAGAGAGAGAATAGAGGAGAGAGGAGAGAGAAGAGAGGAAATTGTGGAGAGAGGAGAGATGAGAGAGAAGACTCATACTCACTGAAAAACACGTCAAAAAGGACGGTTGAGAGAGGAGAGAGAAGAAAAATAATAAATGACAACACGTCAAAAAGGACGGTTGAGAGAGAGGGGGGGAGAGAGAGAAAGAGTGGGGGAAGAAAGGACAAAATTGGAATAATAAACACGTGAGGGGGTCTCACAATTCCTAATGTTAATTTTAGATTTCTTTACAAATGGTAAATATTAAAATGGGCCTGGACTCTATTATTTTGTGTATTGAGGGGGTTATCCCTCATTTTCCTATTTATAGTATACCCAAAATAGCTTATTCATCACTAATTCTCATCAAAACAGTTTTTGTATTTAGCCTTACCAATAAAGTGAAGGTCTAGGATTCAAGTCCTTCTCCCCTACTTTCGCTTGTAATGTACCTGAATTTACTCAAAAAAAATTAAGAAAATAGCTTATTCATCACCAATAAAAAAAAAAATAGGGATGTAATAAATGTCGTTCGAGTCCACTCCTCGACATAAAATTTCGAGTCCTAAAAAAATAGGTGTAAAGCTAATTTAAATACAGCGAAATTATAGTTTTCACCCCTCAAGTTTACACCGATTCCATATTTGGTCCCCCATGTTAAAAAAAAACACATTTGATCCTTCATGTTCTAATAATTTAACATTTTTGGTCTTTTCCGTTAATTTATAGGGGGGGCAAATGTGAAATCGGTACAAACTTGAGGGCCAAAACCTGTATTTTTCCCAATTAAAATACAGTAAACATCTGAATCTGGGGTCAGGTCTGGTGTAAAAGCACCTCATTAATAAGTTCGGGGGGGTTGTTCAACAGTGGCAATACAAAATAATCCTCAAACAAGATCCTAAGGGAATCTTGGATCAGCTAATCTACAGAAGCACGACCAAACTGCAAATAAACGAACAAGATTCTTCAACACCAAAGCTTTCGATTTTGCAATTTGCTGGAGAGACCTTGTACCTGAGAAAATTTCAACGTTGCTCCCAGTCCTTCAATTTCTTGCTACCTTTAGGCTTTTCTATAGGGGCATTCATTCCAGCCATTTTCTGATTGTACTTTGCCCGAAGAGGATCGTTGTAGGTCCACCTGCATTTTCATAAATAGTACTTTAACTCAGGCTTTCATGCACAAGAAAAAAAAAACCCGACAGAATCAACATTTAAAACCTGACCGTAAATAATCTGCATAATATATTCTACATTTACCAATCAAATGGTATGGTTTTACTATTACCAGAAAGGTAATTTGTTGATGTTATTCTGAGAAACTCACAGTAATATAACGAAAAGAGAAACGATTCATGAATTGCACAACATGCTCTGGCATATTTCGACTGCACAAGATTACATGGAATACTAGGTTGACTACTACTTCCAAGTTCCAAAAAAACTAAAAATCAAACAAACATTTGCCTATAGCAAGTTAGTTGCATTTGCAGAATTATCACGCGACATTTCCCCCATTTCAGAACGTACGATGTTGAAAAACCAGTGTAATTAAACTAAAGTGAAATTTAGGTACAGTTATATTACTAAGTGTTCTACTAATATTTTATAAGACATGTTTGAAATAACTGAGGGTTGTTTTACTACTTATACCCAAACCAAAACAAGGGAACCACAGTTAGACGACTAATGGCAATTTGACAAGATTTTGTAACATTGTGCCTTTGTAAGGAGTCTAATCGTCGACGAATAAAGACGGTCTCCAAGAACTAGCCTGCTTTAGCACTTAACAATAACTGCTATATTTCTTAAACAAGAAAAAAACTTTAAAGAATTTTACTTCATGGCAGGGACCGAATTGAAGATGTAAGAAAAAAGAAAATAGGAAAGCAACGACAAGTGGTAGCACCAAAGAGGAGAGAGTTTGTTTCGCTAGCTTACAGCAATATGAACATTTACAGGATCAGCTAAACCAATCAATAACATGACCTATTGACCAAAAGTAAAATAACACCCATCCCCAAAACAGCTTCCGGGAATTAACACCGTTATTGATAAAACATAGGCATCTTAGATGAAATGTGAACCACACTAGATTGTTAGAAGACGTGCCATGCCTGGATTATTGATCAAGACTATTACACAATCAAACGAGAACATAAGATTCTTGTTCGAAAGCATGCAACAATCGTGATTAATTTTAATGTTGAATCATGGAACACAAAAACAACCTGACAATCAAACTACACCACAAAACATTTCATTTAACGTTCAATGTAGTACATTTAGTCCAATATGTTATGGCTTTTTTGATACGTGACATAGTACTCTATATGACTGAGGGGCACGTAAACGAGTTATAAATGAGTTCCTTTCAGGATATATTTCTACATTCACAAGCATCATTCCCATATTCCATTCTTGCTGTTTAAGAGTTTCTAGAGCTAATACCAGTCATTCAAATCGGTACAAATGAAAGATCACAAGTAATAAATCAATTGGATGGATAAAAGGATATTAGCAGGCCATGTTTCCACACAAGTGAATTTGTGTGCAAGGAAATGCACTAATCTAAGTGTACACAAAATTCCAGAGCATTCCATCATTGATAATCAAAGAACAACCAAAACAAAGTACCACGAATTATGAATTACGATACACTAAATGTCAATAAAATTCTCAACAACTGATGCATAAATATTGTTCAAAAGTGCAGAATACTTTGAACGAAGCAGATTAAAAAACTTGAAAAAACAGATGGCATATGCTTAAGCAGGGATTAAAGTACTTACGGGTTATTCCAATCGGTCGTGTCCTCATTGACAAGATGTGTCCATTTCGTCCTCCCACTGCGCCCAAAGTGCTTAACCTGCATGACTTTCGGCAATATAGTCTTATCCATCTTATCCTCTCCAGTCGGAGCAGAAAAGTCACGAGTGTAGATATTCGCCGCCCCAGCAGTTCCGGTTTGGTCGTCAGGATTCGACTGAAAGAAAGCACCTTTATGAAAGTACTTCTGCATGAACCTCCACTTCTGCTTCGGCTGCCCGGAAGGCCTCGGATTCTTCCTATCCCACTCTCTCCTCTCTTCCTCAGTCATATTCCTCACTCTCTCGATCTCCTCTTTCTCCTTCACCATCGCATCTCTATCCTCTCTATCTCTCTTGATTCTCGCAATCTCTCTAGACTTCCACGCCTCGTACTCCTCCGCTTCGTTTACATCGTCGTCCGTGTCCACGTCAGCAATATCTGCTGCCAAATCCACATTCCTCTGAATTTCTTGAGCCTCTTTAATTTTCTCGATCACAATCTCCCTCGTCTCTTTCTTCCTCTCCTCCACTCTCCTCTTCACCGCTTCCTCGAGCGCTCTTTCTTCAGCCTCAATCCTCTCCCGCTCCGCTATCGTATCCCTCTCGGACTTCGGTACGAAAACCGGCTTCACCATCGCAATGCCCCCAGTATTCTCCTCCTCGGAATCAGTCTCGTACTCGGACTCCTCCTCCTCCTCCTCTTCTTCCTCTTCTTCCTCCTCCTCCGGCAAAAGGGCCGCCTCCTCTTGCTGCCGCTGCAGCAGCTTCTCCCTAATCCTCCTCCTCCTCTCCTCCAAGGCATCTTCATCCTCCTCCTCCAAATCAAACCCCTCTTGCCGCCTGCTCTCCTCCTCCGCCGTAGAAATAATCTCCGCCTGCCTAATTCTTCTGTGATCTTCACGCACTTCATTGCGGTTATCAATTTTGCTTTCAGCCAAACGGCGCAGCCTTGGATCATCCCTCCGAACGACATCAGAACCCTGGTGGACCGGAAACGCTTTGTCGAGGGCGGCTGCCCTCGACATTTTAATGTCCCCTTCTTCTTCGTTGTCGTCCGCCCATTCGGGTGCTTTACCAGGCCAGTACCTTTTCACCTTAGTTTGCCCGATTTTACCCCTGAGCTTGTCTCTGATTGTTATCACCGTATCGCTTACACCCGCCGTCACAGACATGGCTGCAGCTGCTACAGGCAATACACAACCCTAAATCGAACAAAAACCCCTTATCGATCGAATAAATACCTGGAGAAGAAGGATGGATAAGCACACAGATAGTAAAGCAAAACAAAACCCTAGAAATTTTGGGGAAGATGAAGCCTTTAATAAAAGGAAAATTGCGTACAGTAGATATCAATATATGTGAAAAATGTTTGGAATGAGAGAAATAAGAACCTGGGCGGCGAAAGATATCGGAGCGGTGCTCAGGCGGTGAATTCTCCGACGGCCGACGTTCCGACTCAGCAAATTGGTTCTCGTGTGTTTTGTGCTAACTCGAGTCACAAAAGCGGGACTATATTATTTTCTTCAATTATTACTAAATTAATAATGTTTCTTAAATAATATTTTTTTTTTCAAATCATAATTGGGCGAAAATATATTAAATTATTAGTTCATAGTTTAATATTTTATTAAATTAATAAAATTTGCTAGTCTCACTATCAAGTCTCAACTGTATTAATTTATAGAGATTTAAATATATATTACTATATTGTTTTGAAACTTGTTTATTTTATTAAGGGTAAATAACAATTAAACCCCTGTTGTTTTAAATCTTTCGCACATGATTCATTTGTACTTTTAACATAAGGGCACAATTCCCATGTACTTTAATAAAAGCGCATAATCCTTTTGTACTTATGAATTTTTCCTCTTCCTAATGAGCACGTGTTTGGATAGTGGATAAATACAAAAGAGTTATGTGCTTATATTAAAAATATAAGGAATTCATGTACTTATACTGAAAGTATAAAGAGATCATGTGCAAAAAGATCAAACTACAGGGGAGATGTGCTATTTACCCTTTTATTAATTTAAAGAGAATTTTGTTTAAAATTTAAAGTTAAATTTATAAGGAACAAATATTTTTTCAAACTATCACGTTTTTCACATTGTCATTATTGGGAAGTAAACGAGTCGAGCTCAATCCCAACATGGCGAATTGGTTAGTCTCGAGGTGGAGCTCATAGAACATGTAATTTTTTAGCACGAGCTCATTAAATTTTTATATTAAAATTATTTTTATATTATTAATAATATACTATTCTAAAAAATAAAAAATAAAAACAAATTGATTTTTTTATTCATTTTTCCATATTTTTGTTATATATTATTTATATTTAAATGTAAAAAAATGTGAGTCAACTGTGAGCTCACAAAGAACTAAAAATTGGTCTAAGTTCGAGATCAAGCTTAAGTCACTTATTTTTTGGATAAAAAATATCACTTATCCTCCTCCTCAACTAAACCCAAACAAATTTTTAAGTTTTTCTCCTAAAATATCACTCACCAAATAAATTAGAAACATAAGCCCAAAACCGTCTTCTTCTCTTTTTACTCACTATTTGTAAAATTAATCGCACTGTACATCCAACACATAACTGTTTTGGATATTAATATTTTAATGGCGAATGACAAAAAGGTCTATCACATGAGATTTAAATACATTTTGGTTCACAAAAAAAAAAACAGTGTTTCAATTAAACCCATTCCCATGTCTTTAGTCTAAAATACCCTCCATAATATAATTCTTATCGATTCTATCCATTATGCTCTAACTTCCTTAATATTACACATTGACCCCGGATTTAAACAAATATATCACATTAACCCCCAAATTTTTTTTTTCAGAAAATAATTTTTTTTCTGAATTTTTTTTTTCCGGGCAGATTCCGGTGTTGACCGGCGTTGAATTTTTTTTTTGAATTTGTTTTTCTTAGAAAAAAATATTTTAATTAATATTACTGTCTTGACTACTAAATTATTGTCTCAGACAGTAATATTACTGTTTTGGACAGTAATATTATGAATATTATTCTCCCGAAAAGTAATAAAATTAATTTTATTGTCTAAGACGGTTAAATTACTGTTGGAGACAGTAATTTAGCAGCCAATGCAGTAATATTAATTAAAATATTTTTTTTTAAGAAAAAAAAATTAATTAACAGTTGAATTACTGTCTCCTGACAGTTAAATAACTGCTGGAGACAGTAATTTAACAACGAATACAGTAATATTAATTAAAAATATTTTTTTTTCAGAATAAAAAATTCAATTAACAGTTAAATTACTGTCTCCGACAGTTAAATAACTGCGGGAGACAGTAATTTAGCAACGAATACAGTAATATTAATTAAAATATTTAGAAAAAGGTCAATTAACAGTTAAATAATTATTTCCGACAGTTAAATAACTGCTGGAAACAGTAATTTAGCAGCAAAGACAGTAATATTAATTAAAATATTTTTGAAGAAAAAAAAAAGTCAATTAACAGTTAAATTACTGTCTCTGGCAGTTAAATAACTGCCGGAGACAGTAATTTAGCAGTCAATACAGTAATATTAATTAATATATTTTTTTTAAGAAAAAAAAATATATATAAAAAAAAAGTCAACGCCGGTCAACACCGGAATCTGGGAAAAAAAGTTTTTGGAAAAAAAAGAAAGAAAAAAAGTCAACGCCGCATACCGGCGGTCTCCGGTGGTGGCAGGTCAAAATTGAAATTAGGGTTAAAATTGGTTAATTGATGAAATTGAGCTAAATTGGGGTGTAAATCATGAAATTGGAGTTGAATTGAGTTTCAATGAATTTTGGTATATATAAAAGGATTTTTCTTATTTGCAAATAAGTTTGAATGTGCTGGATTTATTTGAAAGACAAAAAAATTGGATGTCCCTCTTTTAATTAAGTGCCCTTGTTATGGGCCTTTTTGCGATTAACCCATATTTTAAATACATGTTACTAATCTCTATCATTAGCCAATTTGACATAAAAGTAACAAATGTATAAGGCCTTAAAAAAATCACAATTTTATTATCAAAATCAACATGGTTTATTTATTTATTTATTGGCTTACATAACGTATTTCGAATAAATTAAAAAAAAAACTCACGACCGTTCACTTAAAAATTGGCCGATGAATTTTGTTTCATCTTCTAGCTAGTAATGGAATAAAGTAAATAATATTTCAAATAGATCAAATAATCTAGAGAGCTATATGTCACACCGCACTATCTACACCGTGCCAGAGAATGTGAATCGTAGATGGCGTTAAATTAATCACCAGGGTCGTTCCTGAGATTTTGGGGCCTAGGCGAGATTTGAATACGGATAAAAATGAGGCCCCTTCTACAATCTACAATAAAACTTATGCCCCCAATTTTTTTAAGGATAATTTGCATGAAGTAGCACTAAAACAAGTGAATATATATAAAAGTAAATAACTAATACATTACAAATTTAATAATTAGGGGCCCCTCATGATTAGAGGAATTCTAAAAACAAGTAATAATCGTTGATATATAGCTATTTATGAATTAAAATTCTCAATAATTATATATATAATATATTTTTTTTCAATAAATGTTCATATATAAAGGGTATAAAAAAATTCGGGGGCCCTAAATTTTTGAAAAAATCCGGAAGCCCTAGGCGACCGCCTACTTCGCCTCCCCTTAGAACCGGCCCTGTTAATCACTCACTAAACACTGTGATAATGTGCAACTTATGATAAACAATCATCTAATTACCAATTCGGTGTAAATAACCTTGTGTAATACCTGATTACCCAAATAACCGTGCATTAATTTTTTTTAATAGATGATTCTTTACTCATATTTCATTCTTCATATTCATTTTCTAATTTTCTATTTTGTGCACCCATGCATAGGCTGAAAATATATAAAAGTTGGTTTATGTTAAAAATAAAAATAAAAATTGAAAAAAAGAAATCAAGATACGTTACTTAATTAATAGCAGATGTGCAGTAATTAAACCTCATTAATTTCACACAAACGTTTCTGAGTAAAGGAAAACCCTGAAAATATCTGTGTGTGTGTATATATATATATGCCATTTTACAACTTGATCAAAAAGCAATCAAAACAATGGCGAAACCCAGTCTCCTCTTCGCTCTAGCAGCAACAATCCTCTCTCTAGCCACCGCCGCATTCTCAGCCAACGCCGCCGTCAAGCCCCACAAATTAACCCCCAGCCTTCAGGCAGCGCCGCCGCCACGGGTCTTCGGATATCACCCACACCAAGCTCCGCCCCACTCCAAAAAGAACCACAGACTAATACACGCACATCCGCCGGCGGCGGCGCCGCCTACTATTAGCGGAGAAAGAGGTGCTCTGCCGCCGGAGCCTTACCAGGGCTTCTACGAATTCACCGACCGGTGCTTGGATAAGCTGACGGAGGAATGCGGTCTGGAGATTTTCCAGGGAATATTCTGGGAGGACGAGGTGGCGGAAATCAGCCGCAAGTGCTGCCAGAAGCTGGTGGCGGTGGGGCGGAGCTGCCACGAAGGGTTACTGAAGGCGACGATGAAGCTGCCGGGGCTGCCCAAGAGAGACAAGAGTGTGGTAAAGAGGAGAGATGCTCAACTCTGGTCGAACTGCGTCTCGATTATCGGTGTTCCTCATAAGTTTGGCGGATCTCCATCGCCCTCCCCATCATGACAACACACATATTTTTCGTTTATTCGACACGATGTTTTATTGCATAACTATCGATACAGTTAAACATCTATAACTTAATAACCGACATAATTTTATTTATTCAGCGAAATATTAAATTACCGAGCTGATGAGCAATTATTTCTTGTTATACTGAAACATTATCCGATCAATTAGAACATCTTATAATAAAATTGAAAGTACAAATGGACCAAATTAAAGTATATATATTCAATTTTTTGATCATAGATGCATGGTTCCAGAATTTCAAGAAGCGCGGAGAGAACGTATTAAATTATGATGTTTTATTGCGTAACTACCAAAATACAGTTTAACCTCTATAAACGAATACAGTCGGAACCGACAAAATTTTGTTAATTTAGTGAAATATTAAATTATGGAGCTAATAATTAATTAGCACGCTTTTTACCGAGTGAGGACCGTAAACAACGAGAATTATACAGAAACATTATAAACACGGAAGCCAGCCTACCTTACATCATAGATTAGGTTCTACCGTATATACAATTGAATTTAATGCTGATCTCCAAATTCTACAATTTAATTTAATGCTGATCTCCAAATTCTTGAAATTATTTCTTGTTATACCAATACATCATCTGGTTAGAACATCTTATAATAAAGTTACGAGAACAAATTAAAGTATGTATATTGAATTACTTGATCATAGATGTTCAAGAATTTTCAAGCGCCGACCAAAATTATATAGTTGCACTCCAGAAAAACGAAAACGAAAACGACAATGTCGATATTAACAACAATATATGCATATATGTAAACAGAAGTATTTCACCTTGTATTGAATAGAATTGTACGTACGTACAAATTAAATACATATGCAAGAAGAATAATATAATAATAAGTCGAATAATTTCTATTCCCAATTGATTAAAACAACAAATTAATTACAGGAGTGAAAATCTTGATTTATGTAGCATCAAACCATGAGCAAGACACCTGTTTTTAAATTGATTCTAATTCGCAGACTCTTCTTCGTCGTAATTACTTCTTGTTGTCGATCATCGTCTGTAATCTTGGCGATCTTGGCGCTCCGTGTTTCTTCGTTTTCAATATCAGCAAAGTTAGTAGCCTCCGTCTTTGCCTCCTCTTTCTCGTCGGAAAATTTAGTCGGAACCCTAGTAACGGGTTCTTTGTCGTTGGAAAATTTGGTCGGAACCCTAGTAACAGGTTCTTTGTCGTCGGAAAATTTGGTCGGAACCCTAATAGTGGGTTCTTTCTCGTCGGAAAAGATGGGTGTGCTAATCTCTTCGTCTTCGTCTTCTTCGTCGTGCACCACTAGCTTTCGTTTCCTAGATTCTTGACATAGTAATGGATTGTTCTTCTTCTTGGCCGGCAGTATAAAATCCTCCTTCGAAATTAGGGTTTCTTTCTTTGAATAATTCTTGGAAGCTAATAATTCCTTCTTCGAAACGGGGGCCTTCTCCTTCACGATCCCCTTCACGATCGATTTCTTGACGGGCCGTCGGAGAATACTGCTTCTTGGTTTAGTAATAACAGATGAAACAACTGGACAGCGGCGAACTTGAGGAATAATAATATTCTCACACGAGGGGGTCATGTCTGAATCTGAGGATAAGAAAGAATAGTCACGTGCTTCTTTGAGCCACTCCGCTTTTTCCCTTCCTTGGATTGTATCCAATTGCATCATCGTTCTAAACTCCTTCTTCGATCTTCTCTTGTTCATCAGTTCCGATTTTGGAATCTTTAACCATGATTTGATAGTTTCTTTGTTCGTAACAACTCTGTCGTCGCGATCTTCATCGGCAAACACACAAGGCCGCGGCGCTGCCTTTCCTTTGACGGTGGCCCTGAATTCGTCTTTCAGGTTTGGCCTCGTAGAATAACAGCGATTCATCTTCTTATTCTTCTTAAGGAAACAAGAACACAAGGAAAAAAAATATATTCGCAGAGATTATGGAATACGGATGGAAGTTTGAGAGAAAATCTGAAAGTAATTAGGTTTAATTATGGCATTAATTAGACATGGGTGTATGTATATATAGATAAGGTGAAGTATATATGGAAGATACTAGATGTATAAGGTATTACTTATGGTAGGAAAAGGAGTTCTAACCCTCTTACAATTCGAATCAAATTCATTAATTGTTTGTATTCTCATGTCAAATAACAAAAAACGAAATCTACCGTATATCAACCTCATTATACTATCTATTTATTTGGTTTTTTCGATCGGTTAGGTTACCTGTAAAATCGAAAATATATTTTCTTATTTTAAAAGCCGTAAAAAAAAAAATATTTAAATTTTAAACTAATTAATTCTTGAATTTGACATTCAAATTTCAATAATCGGCCATAAAAATAAAAAGTGATTATCAAATAGAGGTTAGGGATAAGCTGCATAAAACCCCGCTGTGATTATCAATTCAATTTTTTTAAATTTTAGAACATTGTTTTTCTCATTTGGATTTCCAAAATTTGATTCCATTTCTTTTAAAAAAGAATTTCATCAAAATTGAAACTAAATAAAAGAAATTGGAAATTTCAGATTTTGAATAAAAAAATATTTTATCTGTGTATTTTAAAAAAATCAAAATTATATACTTATAATATCAATATTGTTATGTATACTTATAATATCAATATTGTTATGTATTTGTATAATTTATCTTGATGTATTATACGTCAAAGAATATAAATAATATGAAAATTTGAATTTAGTTTTGATACAAATAATTATATTAATAATTTTGAAAATTTGACTTTCAAAGATTGAATAAATGTAATTGACTTACTTTCAAAAAAATAATTCAATTTTAAATAAATAAATAAATTTTACATAAAATTCCACTTGTATTGGAAAAAACATAATGGATTCTACGCAATAAAGTTAACATGTTAATGGAATGGTAATTTCATGCAAGATAAAATAAAACATAGGTGATTCTACGCAATAAAGTTAACACATGAGGTCTGGTGCAAGTTTTCCATAACACAGGGGAATTTTATGCAGTTTATCCTAGAGGTTAGTTTGTAAATAATGGAAAAAAAATCAATGCATAAGTAATTTTGTAATCTGTTATAACTTTAAAGAATTTAAAATAAAAGAAAAAAAATAAATGTATATTAAATTATTAATCTTTATGTAACTTGATGTCTTTGCTTCTGCTACAAAAAACAATGCAGTTTCATATAACTCGTGCGGCAGGTGCATGGGTTTATATTCTTTCATATTAATTCGTCGATGTTAGTATTCAGAGACATAACTGAAATATTTTGTATAATATTGTCAGTAGTACAGGAGGTGGTCATGTCTGAATCGGACGATAAGAAAGAATAATCGCGCGCTTTTTTGAGCCACTCAACTTTTTCCCTTCCTTCGATTGTATCCAATTGCATCATCGTTCTCGACTTCTTCTTCGATCTTCTCTTGTTTACTTCCGATTTCGGAATCTTTAACCATGATTTCCTAGTTTCTTTCTTTGTGTCTTTGTCGGAAAAGACAACCTCTGTTGATCTATATTCGTTAGCAGGCGGCTGTGGTGCCGCCTTCTCTTTGACGGTGGTCCTGAATTCGTCTTTCAGGTGTGGCCTCGCAGAATAACGATGATTCATCTTCATCTTCTCAAGAAAACAACAACACAATACAAACAAATAAAAAAAATATATATATATTCGCCGAGAAAATTTGTAAGTATATTTAAGTTTAATTTTATGACTTTAAGAATGGGTATATATATAAGGTATATGTATAGATATATATATGGAAGAATTAGGGCTCCTTAAGATAACTTCCTGGAAGAAATAGGAGTCCAAATCCTAGTACAATTCATTATCTATTTATTGAATATAACATTTTTTTTTACAATAGTAAGTAAAGTACGATATATAATTATCTTCCAGAAGGCAGATATATATGACGTGGCTACTATTTGATATATAATTATAATATGGTGTATAATACGGTCTAGTTTAGGGGTATTCATTCGGTAAAATCGTATCGGAATTTCGGTACTTACAAAAGTTAGTACCTTTACCAAACCGAACTATTCTGTTTGTTGCGATTTTTTAACGAATTAATTTGGTTCGGTTAGGTATCGCGGTAAAACCGAAAATATATTTTCTTATTTTAAAAAAAGTAAAAAAAATTAAACTAATTAATTCTTGAATTTTAATCGGCCCTGAAAACAAAAACTAACAATTGAGGTAAGTTTGTAAATAACGAAAAAATATTATCAATATATAAATAATTTTTAATTTGTAAAACTTATAATAAAGGAAAAAATAAATGTATATTAAATTATTAATCTTTATGTAATTTGATGTTTTTAACATGCTTGCTGATTTGAAGATAGGATTTATCAGAACTTACACTCAATTGCATGTTAGTCTAAGTAAGCCTTATTGCTCCGAGCTTGTATATTTTACCTCGACTAAAAGTGCAAATCATGTGCAAACTATGAGCAAATCGATCGCGTGCAAACGATGAGCAATTCGCGTAATAATTATTGTGACAAAGAAGCAAGCATTTTCGAGAATGAACAACAACTCGGAATAAAAAAAAAAAAGAAGAAGATTATATATATTGTTACATATTAATTTGTCGATGATATGTATCTAGAGACATAACTGAAATAATTTATACAATTACCTGGCATGCTAAATATTGTGCAGTTTTGAAGTACTAAAAATGTTGGAATATAAGTACATATATATTGAGATTTTAATTACATACTTCATTTTTTTTTTAATTCCGATATGAGTTACTTTAACTATAAAGATATTATATTTTACCCTAAAGATTACATTTATATTTTATTTTTCTTAAGACATGCCACTTTTATTAAGTTATTAACAACAATATCATCAATATACAAGTTCGAAGTGTTGAACATACCCTTAGAATATAATATATATATAAGAAAAATGAAACAAAAGATATAAATTATTCAAGAATATAACATATAACAAAAATATTACTTAATGATAATGAAACATTTAAATTTGATGTCTTATTTTTAATATTGGAATATCCGTAAATAAAAAAAAAAAATTAAGTCTTAGGGAGGCGGACTTCAATGCTAGTAGTCTTAAGTTTGCGGCACGAGGGGCACGACCGGGTGGCCGTGTCGCACACCGTGCACACGCTGATGTGGCGGCACGGCCACACCATCACCGTCGCCGGGCGGCGCCGGCAAGTCTTGCAGTCGAGCGTTACCGGCGCCACCCGGGACGGGTCCACACAGGACGACTGGGCGTCCTCCTCCGCCGTCTCCGCATAGCGACGCGCCGCGATGACGTCGCGCAAGCACGACCTCAATGACCGGATTTCCTCCTTCAGGGCCCACACGGTTTCGCGAAGCTGATCCGACTCCGCCTGGTAGTGCTCCGCCGTCTTCTCCAGATCCGCCACCTGTTTCACCTTGGCGTCCAGTTCGAGTTCTTTCACCTTCAGTTTCTTCACCGCCGCCCCCTCCTCCGCCGCACCGCCCCTTGTTCCGGCCAACGCGTATCTCAGATTCTCACGCTGCATAAAAAAAATGATAAAAAAAAATAAAAAAAATAATAATAAAAAATGAAAAAAAATAAAATATATATACATGAATTAATTATTACGTGGGATGTGATAAGGCGGTCGATTTCTAGTGCATGGTTTTCGACATCTGCGGAGAAGTCAGTGTGCGTGTGGTGATCTTCGTCTTGGGTGGCGGCGGCGGCTAAAAGTGCGGTGAAGGAATTGTAGGGAGCGGCGGTGCCGTTGAGTATTTGCTGCAGTTGCGACGAATACTGCTCGGAGGCACCGTTGATCGGAGAAGCAAATTGGTAGCCGGAGGCGGGAGAAGTAAATTGGTAGCCGGAGGCACCGTTAAATGGGGAAGCAAAGTGGCTGCGGGAGGCGCCGTTTATCGGAGAAGCAAAGTGGTGGCCGTTGATCGGAGAAGCAAAGTTGTTGCCGGCACCGCCACCGCCGAGAAGATCAGTGAAGAGGTTGAGTGGTTGTTGTTCTGCAACTTCCTTCATCTTGCCCTTCCCCTTGCCGGATTTCTTCCGACCACCTGACACATCATTCAAAAAAAAAAAAAAAAAAACAAAACAATTATATATCAAACGGCGCCGGAAAAAGTAATAGGAGGCCAAGGCCAAGGTCGCCGGAGAAGAGATATATCCTACCTCCATTATTGTTCATCGTTGCACAATTATTATATATCAAACGGCGCCGTTTCTACAAGACCAAGTGAAAATTATAAATCATTATAAATCAACAACAATAATAATAATAATAATAATAATAATAATAATAATTAAAAAAAAGAATGATATATTGAACTAAGTAGGTGTCTGTGTGTGTATTAATTAACCTGTATTGCAGAAGAGAATCAAGGAGAGGTGGCGGGTGCAGGGTGGCGGAATGTGGTGGGGAAGGGCGGAAGACTTATAATAAAGAGAGTGAAAGGGTGGCAACTTTTTGGAGAAGAGAAACACCTTCGAATTCAATTCATACCCAACAGACGCAACTTACATCAAATTATGCATCACTTCCAATTTAACGTACTAATATTTTTTCTTTAGCGTTTAAGGATTCTAATTATTTAAAGTAATTTTTAGTTTTTTAGTTTTTTAGTTTATTGCATTTAGTCCCCTTAATATTATGTTAAACTACTAAACAACCCCATATACTATGTTAAACTACTAAACAACTCCCCCGTTTTATTAATATTAGCAAAACCACCTTTGTTGTGCATTTTTTTCGCACACATAGCCACATATATAGGTAGTTTGCAAATAAAAACAAGAGGGAAACTTATAGTTTTTACCCCTCAAGTTTGCACCAATTTCACGTTTGCTCCCCTATGTCCATATTTGGTCCCTAATGTTTCAAAAATTCAACGCTTTTAATTATTTCCGTCAATTTTGAGTTATTACTAACAGAATCAAGTGTTTGCTTATCACTTCCGTAACTGACGGAAATGACCAAAAGTGTTAAATTTTTAAACACGAGGGACCAAATATATTTCATTACGAACACGGGAGACCAAATGTGAAATCCGTACAAACTTAAGGGAGAAAACTGTAATTTTCCAAAAAATAAGAAGATGAGTTTTTTAACAATTAATGTCTACATAAGAAAGTTTTTTTTTCTTTTGTTATCAAAAAAAGAAGAATGATTTTCTTACAACTGTAAACATACATAAGAATGTTAAATACAATAAACCATATTTCTTTTTCTATTGTTATTTGTTTTTCTTTTGTATTCTCCTTTTTCAGAAAACTTATTTTTCATTTCAGTACCTACATATGTGTTTTTTTTATTTAGACCTCGTTTGGTTCGTAACATAAATTATTATTAAAAAATATTATTACTGATAATCCCCGAATAAATCATGTTTTAAGATAATGACAAAAAATTCCCTTTGATTTGTAAAAATTATGCTTATCCCCCTTAAACACACTTCAATTATGAAAATCATCTTCCTATTGTTGAATGATCATTTCTACAAAAAGTTTAAGCAATTAGTGTTTTATTTACTATTAATAACTCCAATATGCTCCTTTAAGTGCAATAAATTATATTTAAAATCTTGCACTTGAAATATTTGAAATGGGCAGCGGTGGGATCTGAACTCGAAACCTATAATTTGGCTCGCCTATGATACTATGTTGATTAAGTACTTCTAACAAAAGTGTAAGTTATTACTGAACTATATCATTTAATATTATTAATATGTCAAATATTTATTCATTTTTTATTATAAAATTAGACAAACATGCAAATATAATTTGTTTTCTCTTATAAAAAAGAGTAAATGTAAAAAGATTTATCTTGTCATTTACTCGTTCTGGTTTTACGAGACTCAAATTTTATTTTCAATTTTTTTAAACATCTAATTTTATTTTAAAAATAAGGGGTTAACTTAAATATTAAAAATTAGGTCACATGCAATCTTCTAATTTTTTTTCTAATTAAAAAGAATGAGCTCGATATTTTTTGTACATTTATTGAAAAGATATCGGATTATTTTGCCATTAAACCATATTAAATAATTAAGTTTTAAGAATCCCTGTCAAATATAAAACCTTAAAATAAGGGGTAAATTTGAATTATTTCAAAGAATATTTTCTAAAATCACACATATTCCGTTATACTACTGATGGTCTGAGGGGGAAATTGTAGGCGGACACAAACTCTAGGGAGGCAATAGTAGTTTTTTTAAACAAGAAGCTGCTTTTTTGTAATTAGATTAATTATACTCAGCAAACAAAGTTCAGTTCATCACAATATATGATATAAACAATTGGATTTCGATTTGTTACTTGACATGCGAAAACAAACAATGAAATTCGATTCCGGTTGTATGAGGATTAGGACTAGTCCTTTTCCTTCCGTAAATACAACTTAACGAGTCCTGCTTTTTCCATACATATACACCCTATATATTAGGTTATCGTAATTTTCGTAAATGTTGCCATAAACCATCAAGTTGTTCTTCCGATTTTTTATTGTCATTGTAGGGGTATTTTTTTTTCTTGTGTAGGCCCACAAGATTTTAACGAGGCCCCAATTAATTTGTTCAAATAATGGAATAATAAAATCTTTTTTGGCTAAAAAAATAAAAATAAAAATAAAATTCATAGATAAAATACTTTTTTTATTCAAAATCTGAAATTTCCAATTTTTTTTTTTTTTTTTTTTTTTTTTTTTTTTTTTTTGAGTTGCAATTGTTTTTTGTAAAATAAATGGAATAAAATTTTGGAAATCCAAATGAGAAAACAATGTTCTATTATAATCACTTATTATTTTTATGGCCGATTATTGAAATTTGAATGTCAAATTCAAGAATTAATATGTTTAAATATTTTTGTTTACGTTTTTTTAAAAAAAAAAAATATATTTTCGATTTTACAGGTGAAAAAACCAAATAAATAGATAGTTTAATGAAGTTGATATACGGTAGATTTCGTTTTGTTATTTGACATAAGAAAAATTGATTCCAATTGTAAGAGGGTTAGAACTCCTTTTCCTTCCATAAGTAATAGCTTATAAATCTAGTATCTTCCATAAATACTTCACCTTATCTATATATACATACACCCATGTTTAATACATGCCATAATAAAACCTAATTACTTTCAGATTTTCTTTCAAACTTCCATCCTTAGTTTCCTTAAGAAGAAGAAGAAGAAGATGAATCGCTGTTATTCTGCGAGGCCACACCAGAAAGACGAATTCCGGACCACCGTCAAAGGAAAGGCAGCGCCGCAGCCTTGTGTCTTTGCCGATGAAGATCGCGACGACATAGTTGTTACGAAGAAAGAAACTATCAAATCATGGTTAAAGATTCCCAAATCGGAACTAATGAACAAGAGAAGATCGAAGAAGAAGTGGAGAACGATGATGCAATTGGATACGATCGAAGGAAGGGAAAAAGCGGAGTGGCTCAAAGAAGCGCGTGATTATTCTTTTTTATCGTCAGATAATTCAGACATGACCACCACCTCGTGTGAGAATATTATTATTCCTCAAGTTCGCCGCCGTCCAGTTGTCTCATCTGTTATTAATGAACCAAGAAATAATATTCTCCGACGGCCCGTCAAGAAATCGATCGTGAAGGAGAAGGCCCCCGTTTCGAAGAAGCCATTATTATCTTCCAAGAATGATTCAAAGAAAGAAACCCTAATTTCAAAGGAGGAAATAATTACACTACCCGCAAAGAAGAAGAAGAATCCATTACTATGCCAGGAATCTAGGAAACGAAAGCTAGTGGTGCACGAAGAAGAAGACGAAGAGATTAGCACCGTATTTTCCGACAAGAAAGAACCCACTATTAGGGTTCCGACCAAATTTTCCGACGTGAAAGAACCTGTTACTAGGGTTCCGACCAAATTTTACGACGAGAAAGAGGAGGTGAAGACGGAGACTAAGTTTGCTGCAATTGAAAAGGAAGAAACACGGAGCGCCAAGATCGCCAAGATTACAGACAATGATCTAGAACAACAAGTAATTACGACGAAGAAAGAGGAGGCGAAGATGGAGACTACTTGTGCCAAGATCGCCAAGATTGCAGAGGATGATCGAAAAGAAGAAGTAATTACGACGACGAAGAAGAGTCTGAGAATTAGAATCAATTTAAAAACAGGTGTCATGATCATGGTTTGATAATAGATCAAGATTCCACCATTGGTTTTTACAAGTTCCATCTCTAGGGTTCATCTGATGTAATTTACAACATTAATTGTATTATTATATTTCTAAACCACAAGTTGGGATATATTTCTGCTTAATAGTTTGTACTAATTCGTCTCTTGCGTTAATAAATACATACTGTATTCTTGAATCACATCTAAAAAGATTGGTTTTCACTTTTGAGATTACTTAATTTGTGTAAAGTGAATTTGTTCTCTCGTAAACAAAAATTAATTAATGATGTAATACAGTCGCTTGATAATGTGTTTTGTGATGACTAAGATAGGTTAGTCTGAATTAATGTTGCTACTAACATTAAGACGTCTCTACTTTAAGTTGAAAATGCTATAATTAGTATTAATATTAGTATTGATATTGTGGTATTATTATTGGTATTAGTATTATTATGTGTATTCGTATTAATATTCATATGAGTATTGGTACTAATATCAGTGTTAATATTAGTATATTAATATTACAGTATCTTAGTATGAGTATTAGAATTAGAGGGAAATATGCAATACCCCCTTCAAATAGAAAATATTTTGAACTAAACCCAATTGACTATTAAAGACTTTTGCCTACACCCAAGTTTCATTCTTAATTAGTAAGACCCCCCTAACCAGACATGGTAAGACTAAAGTGCCCTTATGTGATTAGGTTTTTAACGTGATATAATTTATTTCATTCTTTCACTCCCCCCTCTTTCTCTCCCTCACGTTCTCAATCTCTTCTCATCTCTTCTTTTTTTTCCCCCCTTTTTTTTCTTTTTCGTCTTTTGGTAGATCTGTATATACGCAACTATTTTTGGGCGAGATCTGTATATACGCAGCTAGTCATCGTTTGTGTAACGCTCTGTGCTTGGTGCTGAAGAAAAGTTGCGTGGAAAATATCAGAAATTGTTTGGAACTGTTTTTTTTTTTTTTTTGTTTTTTATTTTGTAAATTTAGTTTATGGATTATTATGTTTGGTTCGCAATTTACGAGCGTTTGTTTTGTTCTGAGCAAAATGTATGGGGTTTGTGTCGTCCGAGTTGTATATGATTCCATTTTATCTCGATTTACAGAGTAGTCACATAATAGTCATATTCTCACTGTTCTGTTAATAATTATGACTATTGTTGATTCACTCGATTAGTGATTTATGAATTTCTTGTTTGTTCCCCACTCTCTCTTTCATTCACCGTCGTTGTCGTCGCATTCCCCTCATTCTCTTTCGTTATTTTCGATTTTTTTTTTCTCCAGATCTGGAACAGAAGCATTAACGTGACTATAGTCTGGTTCGAATATGACTATTGCTGATTCACTCAATTAGTGATTTATTAATTTCTCGTGTTCGTTGTCTCTATCTATTTCTCTCTCTTTACACCACCATCGTCTTCACATAGATTTGTATACCACCACCACCGTCGCCGCTCGTTGCCGCCGCCTCCTCCTTCGTTTCCACGTAAGGCTCTTTCTCTCTTTTTCGTTATTATCTTTCTCGTTTTCTCAGTTTTTTTTCCAGATGCCACCACCACCACCGTCGCCGCCTCTTTCACTCTCTTTCCTTCACCACCGTCCCCGCCGTTGTCGTCGACTCCCATCCCTCTCTCTCGTTATTTTTCTATCTTTATTTATGTACTTTTCCATTTTTTTTTCAGATATGAACAAGAGCAGTAACATGACTATAGTCATATTCGAATATGACTATAGTCATATGTATGTATTTTTCGAATATGACTGTAGTCATGTTCGAATATGACTATTGTTGAATATAATCTATCTTCTCGTTTTCAAGTTGACTTCTAGTAAGTAGATTCAAATTGATTTTTTGTGTGGATATTGATTGGATTGTTTCCATAAACAATAGGGAATCTTCGTTGTTTTATATGATTTGATAAACATGACTATGCCATATAATCGGATTTTTTAAGTTCAAAATATAAAAAACAACAATATAAAGAAAAAATATGACTATAGTTAATATAGTCACATATAGTCATATTCAACTATAGTCATATTCGTCGTTGCAAACCTGTGGAGAGAAAATTTTCAATTTTTGTTTAAAAAAAATAAAAAATTATTTTTATTAAAAAATATTAAAATAAAAATAAATAAATAATGGCTAAATAAAGTCCGAAAATAATATAAAAATAAAAAATAAAAAAATAAAGTCCGAAAATACTTTTTTTTTTTTATTTGGTAGCATTTTTTTAGGAATTTAGAAGCAAATTTTTAGGAATTAAATTGTTATTACGGAAAGAGAGAAAAAATGAATAATTGAGATAAATTATACTAATTAATCCTAATTAACGGGATTTAGGTCCTCATTAATAGGAATTTTGTTGCCTTATTAATAGGAATTTTATTAAAAAACGTGGGATTTAAATAGTAGATAATTATTAAAAAAACGTGGGATTTAGTTGGCTTATTAATAGGAATTTTGTTAATACTAGATAATTATTTAAAAAAAAACGTGATGTGTAGTAGTATAAGGATAAGATTGGAAATAAATATTCTAGGGGGTTTTCACAAATGAAGAATTATGTTATGGACATATCACTATTTTTTATCTATAGGAGGGGTGTATTGCTAATGACCCCTAGAATTAGTATTAGTGTTACAACAATTCCACCTGAAAGTATCAAAGTGAGTTATCAAAAACTTATTGGTTATAATACATACACGCAAGTGCACGTATCGTACAAGTAATATAGTGGACTAAAAGTCCGGATATCGAACCCACAGGGAATATTTAATTATATAAACCTAGACGCTAAATTCTACCAATTATTATCAAGTCCACCCTACACAGTCGACTTTAGAGAGAATTAACTAAATTAAAATAAATTAAAAAGCAAATTAAAAAGACAATAGAAGGAAAGCAATTAAAAACGAAGGTTTAATCAGAGTAAACAAGCCTAGGATTTTATTCCCCCCCTATGTGATTATTATTCCCCCAATTCCTTCAAGTATGCAAGTAATTAACCCGGATTATTAACCTGAGATGCTAAAATAATCATAACCCGCTTCCGCGCGTATTACGATTCTAATACTCTAGATTCAATTACTATTCTTATGCAATTAATTCTAGAACACGGCATTAAGCACAAATCTCAATAATGGCTACCTAAGAGATTAACTATATTCATATGACAATTCCTCAAGTTTAACCACTATTTTTGAAAATCTATTCGCGGATCAAAATGATACAACAGTAAATGGGGATGAATACTATGATTGGAAAGCTTCATCGGAGATTTTCTTTGAGTGGAAAAATCTTGATGAAATTAGCCTTGTCGAGGAAGATCAATATGAAGAAGAAGACAAACCCCCTCGTTATGATGAAGAATTTGCGCACGAGGCTGAAGCAGAGAATCCTCATGAAAATTGGGAGACGAAAAGTTTTGTTATTCAAGGGGAGATGTCGGTCCAACAAGATGCCGTATGGTTTCGCAACAATACATTTCAGACACCTTGTCTCTCCGAACGCAAAGAGTGTATTTTGATGACTGATTCATGGAGTTGTGTGGATATGGTGCCTCAATCTATGATTGACATGTTTAAATTTAACTGCAAGAAATATCCGAAGTCGTACATTTTTTCGTGGTTCAAGAAGGTGACTCGGTATGTTTTGCTTCCTTTAAAAGGTACACCAAGTCGCAATTATCTCAAACATCCAGTGAACTTACAGTCCTACAAAAATTTCAAACGAAAAAGGAAAAAAAAAACAGACAGTCGATGTTTTGGTTCGAACTCGAGGACGAGTTCTTTTCAAGAAGGAGAGAATGATGCAGAATTGGTGTTTGCTGAAACCCACAACGGAAAAAAAATAGAAAACATAGTATATGACCTGATTAATTGATAACATGATGAATAATTCGAAATTATTAGGGTTCCGACCAAATTTTGAGACGAGAAAGAACCCACTATTAGGGTTCCGAACAAATTTTCCGACGAGAAAGAGGAGGCAAAGACAAAGGCTACTAACTTTGGTGATATTGAAAAGGAAGAAACACGGAGCGCCAAGATCGCCAAGATTGCAGAGGATGATCATCGAGAACAAGAAGTAATTACGACGACGAAGAAGAGTCTGAGAATTAGAATCAATTTAAAAACAGGTGTCATGATCATGGTTTGATACTCGATCAAGATTCCAGCAATGGTTTTTAGAACTTCCATCTCTAGCTAGCTAGGGCTCATCTGATGTAATTTACGAAACTTAATTGTATTATTATATTCTTAAACCATATAACATGAGTTTTTAAATTCTTTAATTTGTTGGGTATATATATGATGAGTAATTAATATCTATTCTTGAATCATCGACCATACTACAATGAATCCAAAATTTTGTCTAGTGAATAACAAATTGGTTGTTCAATTAGGTCTTACAGAATTTTTGTTTCCAAAATATATTTAATAGACTAATTTATACTTGATTACAATTATATTTTACAATATCTTTTTTTTTTGTTTTTTTTTTTCTATTGATTCCAATTATATAAATCAATTATAATGTTCTTATATTTTTTGTTTTTTTTGTAAAATATAGTTGATTTTGCATTTTTTTGCAGTTTTGATTTGTCATTTTTAGTAGCAGACTTTTGATCGACTATGCTTCATCATAGTTGATTAATATACTGATCGATATAGAAAAAAAAATTAAAAAACCAAAAAATAAATAAAAATAAAAGAATTTCCTTAATTGACTATGAAGCATAGTCGATTAAGGCTAATCGACTATGCTCCGTAGTCGATTAAGAAAACTGATACACAAAAGAAAGAAAAAAACGGAAAAGCGAAAAAAAAAATTGCCGAGCGCGTGACCTAGTGATGATGTGGCGGGCGGGGGCAAAGCTGGAGAACATAATAGCTCAAAATGGGTGTGAGCTTTTCTCAAATGGAGATAAATATTTTGGACCTCTCTCCATTAGAAAAAGTAATGAGGTGTTTCCTCAAAGAGCCCCGTTTAAAATCGTCCACCAGCATTACACGGGTAAATACTAGTTTTATGTATAAAATATTAAATTATTAATGTATAATGAAAATTATATATTTTTAGAATCTTATATATTGTATTTTTTTAGTGTAAAAAAAAGATATTAATTTCAATAAATAGATAGCTTGATGAAGTTGATATACGGTGGATTTAGTTTTGTTATTTGACATGAGAATATATACAAACTGATGATGCTAGAAATAGATCCCATTAAGTAGTTGAGGTAGAGGGAGTTGGGAGAGCAAATTGGATCACTGCTCACGTGCTAGATGGCGCTGAGATACCTGTGAACAAAGAACACGTGAACTAGGCCGGGGTTGATCCGGCGGAAACCCCTCCGACGCTCAAGTTAGACGTGCGGATTATAGAAATAGTTGAGAGAATATGACTCGTAGTCTTAATCAGATAATAGGGTGTACCTTTAATAAATTTATTAAATCGTTATTTATACATTGTCGATTGGGGCTGAGTTTAATTTATTCGCCCCAAACTTTATTTGAATGTGATTGGAGTTTCGTAATATGTTCTTCTAAATCGGGCTCGTGGCCCAATAGATAGAGAGGTTGTAAGTTTGTTGGGCTGGCCCAATTAGGCATATCAATAGGCAATCTCCATTTTTTTTTGTATAATTTGGTAAACATTACTGTACTACACTATATAATCAAAAAATTTATGTTGAAAATATAAAAAACGGCAATATAAAGAAAGAATATGACTATAGTTGATATAGTCATATTAGACTATACTCATATTCAACTATAGTCATATTCGGTGTAGTAAACTTATCGGGGGAAAATTATTTTTTTTGTTTAAAAAAATTAAGAAAAAAATATTAACAAAATATTAAAAAATAATAATAAAAAATGCTAAATGCACTCCGTAAATAGAAAAATGCAGTCCGTAAATAATAAAATGCAGTCCAAACTTACTAAATATAGTTCGCATAATTACTGATGCAGTAGCTAAATGGGGGGTATTTGAATACTAATATAAGCTAGGGGTATTTTAATTTATATATATATTTTTTAAGTATACTGGTTATATCGTATTATATGTTAACTATTCTAAGTTTTTGTTTGATTATTTTATCTAAAACGTATTTTCATTTTTTAAATTGTCCACTGCATTAATACACGGGTGAAATACTATATGTATAAAATAATAAATTATTAGTATATATAATGAACATTATATATTCTTAGAATCTTATACAGTTGAACTTCTATAAATTAATATAATCGAGACTAGGATAATTTTATTAATTTAGCGAATTATTAAATTATCGAATTAATAATTTAATATATTTTCATTGAGTCGGACCGAGAGAAACTATTATTTTCATTGGATTTCGTTTTATTATTTGACTTGAGAAAATAAACAATAATAAAATTTGAATCCAATTGTAAGAGAGTTAGAACTCCTTTTTCCTTCCATAAGTAATACCTTATAAATCTAGTATCTTCCATAAATACTTCACCTTATATATATATATGCACCCATGTTTAATTAATGCCATAATTAAACCTAAATACTTTCAGATTTTCTCTCAAACTTCCATCCTTATTTCATATAATCTCTGCCAATATTATTTTTTTCCTTGTGTCGTTGTTGTTTTCTTGAGAAGATGAAGATGAATCGTTGTTATTCTACGAGGCCACACCTGGAAGACGAATCTCGGGCCAACGGCGGACGACTGAGCAAAGAAAACGGCACCGCCGTCAAAGGAAAGGCAGCGCCGCGGCCTTGTGTCTTTGCCGATGAAGATCGCGACGACAGAGTTGTTACGAACAAAGAAACTATCAAATCATGGTTAAAGATTCCAAAATCGGAACTGACGAACAAGAGAAGATCGAAGAAGAAGTCAAGAATGATGATGTTATTGGATACGATCGAAGGAAGGGAAAAAGCGGAGTGGCTCAAAGAAGCACGTGATTATTCTTTTTTATCCTCAGATTCAGACATCACCACCACCTCCTGTGAGAATATTATTATTCCTCAAGTTCGCCGCCGTCCTGTTGTTTCATCAGTTATTACTAAACCAAGAAACAATATTCTCCGACGGCCCGTCAAGAAATCGATCGTGAAGGAGAAGGCCCCCGTTTCGAAGAAGCCATTATTAGCTTCCAAGAATGATTCAAAGAAAGAAACCCTAATTCCAAAGGAGGAAATTATACTACCGGCAAAGAAGAAGAAGAATCCATTGCTATATCAGGAATCTAGGAAACGAAAGCTAGTGGTGCATGAAGAAGAAGACGAAGAGATTAGCACCGTATTTTCCGACAAGAGAGAACCCGTTATTAGGGTTCCGACCAAATTTTCCAACGAGAAAGAGGAGGTGAAGACAGAGGCTACGAACTTTGCTGATATTGAAAAGGAAGAAACACGGAGCGCCAAGATCGCCAAGATTGCAGAGGATAATCGACAACAAGAAGTAATTACGACGAAGAAAGAGGAGGCGAAGACGGAGACTACTTGTACCAAGATCGCCAAGATTGCAGAGGATGATCATCGAGAACAAGAAGTAATCACGACGACGAAGAAGAGTCTGAGAATTAGAATCAATATAAAAACAGGTGTCATGATCATGGTTTGATACTAAATCAAGATTCCACCATTGGTTTTTACAAGTTCCCATCTCTAGCTAGGGCTCATCTGATGTAATTTACGAAATTTAATTGTATTATTATATTTTTAAACCATATAACATGAGTTTAATTTTAAATTCGTTGTTGGATGAGTAATTATATATTTTGATGATCTATTTCTGCTTAATCGAAATATATTCCGGAACTACTAATTCGTCGTCTCTTGCGTTTACAAATATTCCGATGTAGTTTACATTGATATGTATTCTTGAATCATCCACAAAACTACAACGAATCGAAAATTTTGTCTGGTGAATAACAAATTCAATTAGGTATTCAGATTTTTTGTTTCCAATATACATTTAATAGATTAATTATACATGATTACAATTATATTTTACAATCACTTTTTTTTTTTTTTGTGTGTGTGTGTATTCGATGATCACCTGATTGATTCAAGAAAAAATTCAATTTACCAAAATCTCGATACAATTTTACCGAATGAACAGTACGGATAATCACTAGAATACTATATGTTATGGTGCATCCGAGTGTTTTAAGGATTCAACGGAACAAGATCAACCAACTCTCATTACGAGAGTTGGTATCAAAGATTCGAATGCTGCTATTCCCCAATCCCCATGCTTCTCTATTCGTTACATGATTTGAATTTAATAATTTAATTATTTATTTTTAAAACGAGAAAGCAAACATGAACATGCACAGCAATGAAAAAACAGAGCTCTGGTAATAAAATCGAATTAAATTCTACAGCCGAGCATTCCCAAATGCTGCTAATGTATATAAGAGAGAAGAGAAAACCAGATGCACCACAAATTGATGCAAAACGGGCGAAAGGGTAAATAAGGCACAAAGAATGATAAACAAGACAGGGGAAAAAGACGTTATGACATGATCGGTGGTTTATATTCACGCCCATGAAGGCTTGTTTTCTCTTTCAACGTCAGCCTTGATCATCTTCTGTATCGGTTTAATAATGAACAAGAACTGTCACCGAACCACAAAAAAAAAAAAAAAGACAGAAAAAGTATCGTCAGATAATGCTGTGTTGTATTAATCGGACATGGAACAAAAGGGCAGTATGGGAAACAAAAAAAGAAAAGGAAAAAAAAAATTGAAACTTTACCTGGAACGCTAAGATGAGAGGGATGTAAATTTTTCCCCTGTCGTTTGCATTTGGCCCTTCGATCAACTTTTGGTCGACGAGAATGCCCCTTTTGCCGTTTAAGGTGACATCGGTGATTGTATGGATCAAATTCGGAATCCAAGGAGTACCCATTGGAAGGATCTAGAATCCGGAGAAATCGTTTCGGAAAGGTCAATATAAGTATGAAAAACCCTTTTTTTTTTAATAAATGAATAAATAAAATAAACGATACCGACCTTTTCATCATGTTCGTTCTTGTTACACCTCCCGCTGTTCTCAACCAAAGCAACGGGAATAGCAAATTGCTAAAAACAGAAATTAGCACAATAAGTTTAGAGTTGGACCAATCGAAAAAAACAATTTAAAGAATATAGTATGGACCGTTACCTGAGCTTCGTTTTTGTTTATCCGAGCACCTTGACGGATGCATTTCAAAAGAGATTCCCATCTTTTAGAAAAGAACTCTTCGTAAGTCAATGCATCGGGGGGTGAAAGCTGAGCATGCGTAAGTACAACGACTGCTTTATGCCATATCTCTTTGCCAAAACTATCGGAAATCGCTTTCACAATCTGTTTGTCCATGTTATCCACTCTGTACGCATCCAAACGGTCGACGTAGAGCAAAACGTCTACGGTCTTGTTTAGAAGGAACCTGCCCAAAGAGCTACAAACAATTTTACCAAAACATACAAAAACAGAAATTAAAAAAGTAAAAAAACGGATCGAGAAAATTACGAAGTCAAACCTTTTAATTGTGTCCAAGACCTGGTCACTGACGTATCCTCCTTCGACAAGACCCGGGGTGTCGATTATGTTCAGCGTAAAACCTGATCTCGATCTCGAAACCATCACGGGCCTTGGGGTTTCGGACTGAAACAACATTTTACGTTATAAATTGAAAATCACTTCATCGACATATGTAATAATGTAAAGGTAAAACAAAAACGGGTTTTTCTTTTTCTTTTTCTTTTTTAGTATCTTAAAGAGATGGCTAAAGAACCGTACCTGGAAAGCACTGACAGTGACGACTCGTTCTCCTATAACGGAATTAACAGTGGATGATTTCCCAACGCCACCTTTCCCCATTACGAGAATCGTCAATGTGTTGACATTCTACAAAAGATTACAGATTTTTTTTTAAAACCAAACCAAAAATTAACGAATGTTATTACAACTAGTTATCCAGCTTCTAGTTCTAGTTTTTCTTTTAACTTCTTTTTCGAAATACGAGGTTTATGTTTGTAATTTTACGGTATTTTTTATTCTTTTTTAGTAACAGAGGGTTGAATGCAATATGAGTAGAAGCTTATAAAATACAAATAAAAAAAAAAAAAAAATCAAACCTGGTTCTTTAATTTTCCCAACAAGTCAACGAGCTTCTCCTGAGTAGCTGAAGGAAACTGCTGAATAGCTGACCATTCTTTGATAAGCTGACCAGCCATTTATTTCCTGCATACCGAAACAAAATCCCCAAATCACAATTAACCCTAGGACAAAGCAATCCCCAAATAAAGGCTGAAACTTCACTTGTAAATACTGAATTCGAACTCGCAATTGAAAAAAAACACATGAACTGGAATCAATTACGCAGGTGAATTCAAAACAAAATTAAAACAAAAGGAGAGAAAAAATAGAAACAACAAATTGAACGCAACGAGCTACAATTGAGGGAATCAAAAAACCGCAACAAAAAAGAAAAAGGAGAATTCTTACAAAGTCGCTTTCAGTTCAACTAATTACAAGTGAAATTGACGAAGAAAGACAAGGGTTTTAGAGAAATAAGAAATTTGATTTTTTGAAAAGAAAAAAAAAAAACCTTATCTTTGTGTTCGCCGTAACAGCTCTCTCTTTCTGTGTTGATTTGATTTGGTTAGAGTCTCACCTCACCTAATCATGTGAGCACTGACTCGTGATACGGACCCGGGTCGGCCCATCTTTAATCATAGTTTTTGTGTCAACTGTTAAGCCATATACCAAAGTTTTTAATTGTTTATTATTATTTCTATAGCAAATTACGGCTAACCTTCTAAGATAAGGTTAAATTACGAAAATACCTTCTTTATTTGGGTAACTACAACTACCCATCAATTATATATTGTCTAACAATTCCTCAATTATATTGTTAAATTTACCTACTAAATGAGGGATTTTTTATAAAAAATACATAGTTGTAATTATCTAACAAGAAATATATTTTTTTCGTAATTTATGCCTTACTTCAGGGGTGCCGCCGTACTTTGCCCTTATTTCTATAACTACGCATACTTACAAATATCCTCAAAAATTTAATTTCAATTCGTAGATTAGAAATTTTATGTGCTGTATTTCAAAACTATCCTTATAAATTAAATTAAAATATATACATGATATTTCATTTGGTAAAACTTTAATTGCAGTCACCTCCCAAGTCCTAAATATCATTATCCAGCTTAAAAAAATATTCTAACGAACTACGAACTAGAAGCTTTCTATTTTGTTAAATTAGTAGCACTCGTGTTTAAAGTTCGTAGGGATGAGTAAAAAGTCAAAGACGATGTCATCCTTCTGGACCATATCTTAAGTTTTTTTATAAACAACACATAATCGTATATAATCCAAATTAATCCGATGTAAGTAACCGAAAAAAGGGCTAAATCTCTAAACCATTATTCGAAACACACATTAAATGCAAATCAATGGAAGCCTAGAGAATTCAGCACACGTCAGCAAATTTACAAATCATCATCATCTATTACAACAAACATTAAACCAAACCCAAATGCAAATGCCACAACTTGAACAGGCTGCTCTCTTAAGAAACTACCCCCAAAGTTACAACACAACTAAAAAATGATCCAATAAATCCGAATAAAGGGGGGTCGAAACCCCCAACTCATCAAATCAAACAGCAGAAACTTCTAGAAGAAATTACAAACACCACAGTTACAAACCATGGTGTAAACTAGTAGGGTTTACCCATGATTCAGAGCGGCGCCCACCTAACTTTATACATGCACTCTCGTCTTTTAGTTAGACCAGACATGGATGAGGCCGAGCCTATTGCCGGTGTAGATCTCGTTCCGGTCTTCATCGTAGAAGAGAGCCGTGATATCTTCCAAAGCTTCCGCGACGGTGCTCTTGATTCTAGAAGCTTCTACACGCTTCCGAGAGTTGCAGTTTCTACCACCACAATTTGCGCTGCACCAGCACTCGTCCGCTTGAAGGCTGTTGCTCGCCTTGATTTTCGCTAGGCATTTTCCGGTCAAGATATTGCTTATATTGATCGAGCCAGCTGTTGCATCGATAGCGTTATAAAACAAAATCAAGAATTAATGATTGGTTAGAATATTTAGCTATATCAAAAATATTTAACTCCGCAATTCAAATTGCATTAGTACATATTCAAGCACGCATCATATGAACTGTTAGTAGGAGTGGAAATCAAACAGATCGAATCGGAATTCACCATTTCGGAAAAAATTCCGAAAAATGTCGTAAGTGAAAAACTAATTGCAAAAAACGAAAATTCAAAAATTTTGGAAATTGGAAAGGAAAGACTTGTTCCAAAATCGGAAATTTTCGGATCGGAGTAAGTGGAATTCAGAAATCCCAATTTTTAGATCACCTATAATACAAAACACATTATAATATTGATATTACAAGTGTAATTTTTCAGGGGTAAAAATTGGAAATTTAGGAAATATTTTCAGAAATTAAAATCGGATCGGGGAACGGAATCTAATATGTATTCCAATTTCCAATTACGTTCCAAAAAAATAAAAAAAACTGTAAATCGGAATTTGGAATGACAAAAATTGTTCCAAAATCGTAAATTCTCGAATCCCAATTCCAATTCCCATCCCAATTCCCACCCCTAACTGTTAGGTCTCATTTGGATCAAATCCATTTAACAACAGAATTCAAATCCACAGCTCTCAATTTGAACTGATTTTTGAGTTATTATGATAATTCGAAATCCACTGTATACGAGTCATTTGAAATCATTTTCCCAAAAAATAATAAATCCACAAGAAAACGTACCATTTCCATCAGACAGCGACTCATCGGTGTCGGATTTGCAATACGAAATAATGAGATCCTGATCGCTGGTAATGTAGATATTGTTCGTATTGCAATCGGGGTGCCATAAAAGATGATCATCGAACGAGGTAACACGCTCCCCTCTGAAGTTCCAAACAGCAACTGTCCCGTTTCTGAATGTCAAGAATAACTGGTTCTCGTATAGAAATATAAACGCAGATGGGGTCATGAACTCCGTGCTGCTGACTTCGGTCAACTCCGAATTGCGGACCTAATAATAATAATAGACAAGAATTATCAGATTTCATATGTAAATACGAATTTACTGTGAAAAATCAAATCAAATAAAAGGGTAAATTACAACCACCCCCTGAGGTATAGTCAAATTACAAAAGAAACCCTCTTGTTTGGGTAATTACAACCACCCCCCTCAACTATAAATCTTCTTACACGTTCACACTTGCAGTTTCAAATTTAGTGAAATCTTCTAGATTATATGGAATATTATCACTTTTGTACCCGTTTTATCACAAGCTCCACATTTTGAAGCAAGATGATCGTAAGATGTGTATTTTGGTTTGTATATATCGGATTGTAGTGCAACAGAAACTGTATTTTCACACAAATGAGTACAAACTAGAGCACATTCCACGGAATCTAGATGATTATGTTGAATTTGACACCATAAGGGCGGAGGTGTAAGAAGATTCATAGTTGAGGGGGGTAGACGTAATTATCCAAACAAGAGGGTTTTTTTCGTAATATGACCATACCTCCGGGGTGGTTGTAATTTACAACAAATAAAATACAGTGTGAAGATAGCGAACTTACATCAAGAATCTGAAGGTTCTCGTTCTCTTGCTTGACGAGAAGCTTTTCGTTGAATTGTTCGATGAAATCGACCTTCTTGGTTTTATGGAGGAGGTGGCTGAAAGATTTAAGAACGGAACCATCCTCGATCGAGAGAATCTTCAACGGAACACCGCTATGAGTTTTTGTCAATATCAATAGCATGATTCCTGGACTGTTTGCCAAACCAAAAAAAAAAACGGAACACACGTTTACGACAATCCGACAAATCCAAAATCAAAATTACAAACAAAAATTTCCAAGAGTTACCTGATCTTAATCTCTTGAACATTTTTATCCGAAATGCAGTACAGCATCGTATAATTTTTCAAGTCAAACACCTTGTAGATGCTGAAAACGAAACAGAAAAAACAGCAAAAATAAATTTATTTTTTAAATCGGGAAACTGCAGCAAGTCCGTTAGCAATACAGCTTATTTATTAAGTACTGACCTATCTTGTGCGGAATAGGTAAGAACCTTCCCGTTTACATCGTCAAATTCCACAAAACCAGGCCACTTTAACGACTCCGATTCAAAGAGTGCAAAACCAGCATCGGGCTTACCCCGTCGTATGTATCTGAAATAATTTAAAATGGTCACGTATAAGAACAAAAAAAGAACACGAGTGAGTGGGAAAATATTAGTAAACGGTAGATGGAATATCGTACTCTATCCTTGTGGTTCTGCATTTTAAGGAACTAAAATTGTCCGAAGCGTAAACCGAAACGGTGATAAGCGAATCGTTATTTTTGTTGTAAAATAAGCTCCGTATGACTTCATCGTGACTGACATTTAGAAAGCATATCCTCTGGTTCGTCTCTGCACGAGACAGAAACAAAACATCCATAAGCCCCCCTCCTTTTTTATGCGAAGAATTGAAACGGAAAAAAGGAATTTGCATTGAAGTAAATAAGTTTTCATTTAGATCACAATACCTCGGCTAAATGCTGCACAAACACCAGATTGCGCAAGAGCAAATACAATATCACGGGCAGCAACTATCTCGATAATTTTCGACCTTTTCTTTAAGAATGGCAACGACGAGGGAGAATACCCCTTTGGATCATGGGTATCATATTCTTCCTGGACAAAAGAAAAATACCCGGTTAACCATTAATTAGATAAAAAAAAAAAAAAGGACTTCCGATTATTAAAAAAAAATCAGCTAATTTTTCTTCTCTGAAAATAGACGAGTGGAGAAAAATCGAAACTTTAAAAGAAATTAAACATAATATTGCAATGTAACTAAACCCTTTTCGTTTCATGCTTTACTTCCGACGTGTGCAAAACCAGACTGTTATTTTGCTAACTATAAATTCGATTAATTCAATTATATTCAAAAGACCTAATAACTCTTTAAACCAAGTGCACCCCATGCCAGTTTAAAAAGGTGTAGCCAAACCCAAAAGAAATTGACCAGATTTCTCGGCTTCCTTTCGAAATTTGTGGACACATTGACCCATATGATATATGTAAACCCATTTTCCTAAAAAATGCATTCTTGCTGTTTTAAATATTTCTTGAACAATTTCCGTTTCGACTTTGTGTTGTCTGATCAGCAACTATCCACCCATTTCTGATACACATAGATCTATACTATTCAATATAAACATATACACCCTTCAATTAATAAGCCTAACCCTAGAAAATTCGAAAGGGGGTTCGCTCAGGGAAATCTAGGGCAGACTTAATTGAAGCCCCAAAAGCCCTAATTTTGCAATTCAACAACAAACCCTAGAAAATTCAAACATTTTCATAGGCACAAGAGAAAAATGAAAACAATAAATTAATCGAATTGAACCTGCAGGCGAATATTCCGAAACCGCTCTTGAGCATCACACATGCTGAAAGCTCGGTCCCGTTTCGTAGATATCTCCCTCCTCTGCAGTTTCTTCACGCTGTTAACAAACCCATCTATTCCACCGCGGCGCCGCTTCTTCGCCACCACCCGCCGCCCAGTGCACGGCCGCGGACTCGCCGTTATTCTCCTCCCATCCATCGCCGACTATTTCCGAACGCTAGCTTTCACACACCCTCCTCTCAGTTTTGCATTCACTTTTGGTGAGAAAAAATAAAACCCTAAATCTCCAGACCCAGAAATAGAATTTCAGGGGCTTCTTCAAACAAGAAGCAATACAGAAAACCCACTTCAAACAATTGGGTTTCTCAAGAAATTCTTCACTGTTCGTTCATACACAAAAAAAAAAAGAAAAAAAAAATTGTCTGTGTTTTGTGTTTGAACAAAGGCAAAGATTAGAGCTAGAGAGAGAAAATTGAAGAGAGAGAGAGAAGAATGGGAGCGTGTCGGATTATAGAGGAGGAGTTCGCCGTCCACTGGAGTTTAAAATCCAGATTGACAGCATTTTTTGACGGTGCGATAATTCTCTCGTTTTCCTTCTTTCTTTATCTATCTCGTTTTTTATTTTTTTTCCTTTTTTGTCCCTCGGATCTTTTTTTAATTAATTTGATGTCCTTCTCCTTTTAACTCTTTTTCCTTGTAAAATTGAAATAAATCAAATAGATCGAATCAGAATTTAATATTTTGGAAGTCTCTAATATTAGTCAAACTTAGTTTCAATTCTAATGTTTGAAAAAATTGGAAATATATTATCTATTTCGATTCAAAAAGTTTTGAAAAAAATTCAAAATTTTGAAATTTTCACAAATAAAATGTCATTTATATTTTTTTGGAAGTTTTCTGAATTTATTTGAAACGATTATTGGTTTAAGTAAACAAGCGTAAATCTTAAAGGGTAATTAAATAACTAGTAAATCCAATGTTTTGGAAGCTGAATCGAACGGATCAGTCCAACCGGTTTAAGCGCGAACCACTGCCATGTCCGGTCCGGTTAGCAATGAAAATCCAAATCGCCGAAAACCCGGGTCAACTACCGAAATTCGGGTTCGACCGGAAGAACCGAGAAACCTGGAAAGCTCATTGTGCAAGACGAAAATCCTAGCTCGTGCCTATAAAAGATGTTCTTGCTATATATAAAAACCAGACTCACATAGACATATATTATTCATAACATATTTAAATTTTGATGTGTTATGTTTATTCAATTAAAAAACATGTCGCTAAGCAATTGAATCGACTTAGGAAAGAAGAATTATGGAAGATTATCTGGAGATTGTAATCTATTTTCTTTTGATAATTAATATATTCATTAAATTCATTTTTTTCTTATCTCGCGGACTCGAAAATTTGTGGTTAACAATGACTAGGGGTGGCAATTTCTCAACTTTGATCGGATCCGATCCGGATCCATGTGGATCGGATGCAAAAGGAACCGGATCCAATATCAACCTACATAAATAGATTTAATGTGGATCGAGTTTAGACCGATCCGGATTGGATCCACATGGATTCATTGCATCTTTAATTCAACTTATGAGGTTGAATATCTCAACTTTTAGGGTTTAGTATCTCAACTTATGTAGTTTAATATCTCAAGTTTCACAATTACACATATTCACACACACACACATATACACATATACATACACACTTTTGCACACACACACACACTTTTACACCACACGCACACACACTTACATGCACATACACACTATTGTTTATATATATATATATATATATATATATATATATATATATATATATATATATATATACATTTATTTATACATGTTTATATATACACACACATACACTCACACACACACACACACACACACTCACACACACACACACACACACACACACACACACACACTCACACACACTCACACACACACACACACACACACACACACTCACACACACACACACACTCGTATACACATACACACACACACTCACATACACACACACACACACACTCTGTTTACACGTACACACACACACACAGACACACACACACTCGTATACACACACACACAGATACATGTATATATCTGTAAACATATATATATATATATATATATATATATATATATATATATATATATGTGTGTGTGTTTTTATATATACACACACATACACTCACACACTCACACACACACACACACTCACTCGTATACACACACACACACTCTGTTCACACACACTCTCTCGGTTTACACACACACACACACTCTGTTTACACACACACACACTCACATACAGACACACACACTCGTATACACACACACACACACTCTGTTTACACACACATATACATGTATATATATATATATATGTGTGTGTGTGTGTGTGTGTGTTTATATATACACACACATACACTCACATACACACACACACACACTGTTTTACAATTAACTTTTTAATTAAAATAATATTTGACTTTTTTTGTAAGAAAATTGTTTTGGTATTTGATTGGATTTTGGTTGGATCCAATATGACCCACTTTATTTTGTGGTTAAACTTTCAATGGATCTAAAGTGGATCCACATGGATCCAGTTTTAAAAAAAAAATCAACTTGATCCGATCCGGTTTGTTTCAACTAGACTTAATCTAAACTGGATCCTTATGGACCGAACCGGATCTAATCGGATCCGTGGAACCGGATCCAAATTGCCACCCCTAACAATGACATGACGACATTTTCTTTTTTAATTTGTCTATAAAAACTTCAATAATGTGTGGATTTGGTTTATAATCAAAGGGTCATTACAAATAAGCCCATCAATGAGTACTTATTCATAAAGAGATCCAGACAAAAAAATCATTTACCAATAAGTCAACACGTGGTCCAGATTTTTGTAAAGGACTTAAATAAACCCTCATACTTTACTATGCTCCAATTTCATCATTAACTTTATTTAACCTCAATTTGATCCCAAATTTCACAAATTTATTCAATTTTGACCCAATTTTTTTTTTTCCCGTCGGATTCCGACGTTGACTTTTTCATTATTTTTCTTTTCTTTTCTTTTCTTTCTTTCTGTAATTTTTTTTCGTTTACACAGCAATATTGTTGTGATTGACAGTAATATTAACTATATTACTGTTAAACACAGTAAAATTAACTAAGTTTAACACAGTAATATTGCTATATTAATCTCTAGCACAATAATATTAACACAACAAAACTCATTATTATTATTGTGTAATAGAGTAATATTACTATGTTGACCGTTCAACAAATGTAAACATAATAAAAAGCCAAAAGAATATGTGAGTGACAATAATATTACTATAACAACAGTAATATTACAATGATAGACAGTAATATTATTACGTTACTCCGTGAATAACTCAAACAAACAAAAAAACCAAACAAAATAATAATATTGACGTGGTTGACAACAATATTACTATAACAACAGTAATATTACCGTCAACCACATTAATATTATTGTGTTTATAGTAAATATTACAATAATAGACAGTAATATTATTACGTTACTTCGTGAATAACTCAAACAAAACAAAAAACCCAAAAAAATAATAATATTGATGTTGTTGACAGTAATATTATTGTGTTTACAGTTATTTGACTGTCAACGACAGTAATATAATTACGTTGACTTGTCAACAAATCAAAAAAAATAAAAAAATAAAATAACAAAAAATAAAAAATAATAATATTACGTTAATTTACTGTCAACGGCAAAACAATTACATAAATGTATTGTCAACGGCAGTACAATTACGTTAATTTACTGTCAGTGACAACACAATTACGATCAACGTTTAGCGGCGGACGTAAAAAAAATAATAAATAAATAAAACCTTAAAAAAACATTAAAAAAAATCTACGTCGGAGACCGCCGGTCAACGCCGGAAACCGGCGAAAAAATATGAAGAAAAGAAAACAACTATGATTTTTTATATATATACATAACTCACCCCTCAATTTTTTTCTTACAAAATCTTACAATTTATGATTTATGTTAAAAAATAATTTGTGATTTAATTCAAGATTTAACAACTTAGTCGTCAACAATCACAATCATCTAACCTAAACAGAGTTTTATTTATTTATTTATTTATTTATTTATTATTATTATTATTATTATTATTATTATTATTATTATTTTTTTTTTTTTTATTTTTTTTTAGTAATCTTATTAGGGTTCGCTTGACGAGTTGGACTAATGGAATGTTGCATGATTGGGCCACTCTAATAAAGACCTCAATTATGAAAAGGTACATAACTTCTGGGCCACGTTAACTCTAATTTATGAAAGACAAATTGTGATCCTTTGAATTTAGTATTTCTTTTTTGAATTTTTCTTGTTGATAATCAATTAATCATAATATATTCACCCCACAATTTATTAATAAATACTCTCTCCGTTCCTAAATAAGTGTCGTTTTTCACTTTTCACAAAGATTAAGAAACTCAATAAATATCTTGATTTTAGAAAAATCATATAGAAATGACTAAAACAACCTTTATTATTTAATGATTTATAAGAGAAAAATAATGATTAGAGTTTCATTAATAAGGTTAAAACAGGAAAAATGCATTTAATGCAGCATTGGAAATCTAAAGTGACAGATAATATGGAACAAAAATATTTTTAAAAAGAGACAGTTATTATGGAACAGATGGAGTATTTATTATGATGTTAGCATCATTCTATTAGACAGTCAGTTGTCATGAAAATTATTGGTCATAAAAACCTTTGGATGGAAAAGGACATACAATAGCTAACATACACACATCATACATGTTAACAAAAAAATTCTTGCATGCTCCACTTTTGCACATATTTATACAACAAAGTGAAAAGTAATTCGGCAACAAATAAATGTGATTACAATGTTTATTTATTTGCTTCCTTTAACAAATTAGTGTAAACCTCGCCCACGCAAGTGTAAATTTTATTGTACGGTGAACCCGACCTTAAAAAAAATATGTTGGCAGTGAAAATCAGATTTTGATCGTTAGACTTCACACTCTCCTTATGTAATACATTATAAGGAAAAAAAGTTGAGTGACAATACTAATTTTTACATGATTAGACAGAAAATGTTGTCACTGTGATTGTAACTAATACAATATAGTGACAATTAAAAGGGATTCTCTCATTTGTCACTTCTATTAGTGGCGATAAAAATAGACTAAGTGACACCATAACGAGTTATTAGTGACAGTATAAAAATGTCGCCGCTTAATTAACATATGTATTTAGTGAAAAGTTTTGCCAGTGTCACAGTTATGGTATTGGTAATTGTATATTTTTTCATAGTGATATACCAATGTATATAGATTAAAGTTTCAAATTAAATCTAAATATATTCAATGCAACATATACGTTTTCACATTATTTGAAATGACTTTCAAATAATTTGAACTTAATTATTTTGTAGAATGAGAAATGATAAATAGACAAAAATCAAAACGAATGGGTGGGGGGAAACTCATAAAAATGTCGAATAGGTGCAATTAATTAATTAAGCCCATATTGCGATAGGTCCCATGATTTTGATATTTAATTTTGTCCGAACACTGTGGAAACTGAAAAAAAGAAATGGGCAAGGCTCAATATCTTCACGTGCAGATGGTCATGCTATTATCAATTCACAATAATCCAAAGTGTCGGCAAATGATAGATTTTGCACAAAATATTGCCACTATGGTCCTAATTAATAGGATATTTACTAATACGGTAATAGAAATACTATATTTTATTATAGAAATACTCTTCACTTACATAAATCAACCTATTGCATCACTAATTAGTCGATGCAAAAAAAAAAATCACTTACCTTCCAATTGTAAAAATCAAATATGAACACGAATTCATATCACCGTTCCGTACTCCACCACCACATCCCGATCGCATCGCCGGAATTTCGCAGGACGAGTTCGAACCTCCAGGGAACCGTCATCCACGGTGGAGAACATAACTAGTCGATGCCTCCTGTGGGTGTGGAAGGGAAAATCAAGAAACAATGTAACATTTGGGAGACCACCTCCGATTGTCCCCGAAAATTAAACGAAAGCGGTTTCATATATTATAAATTATAATTCATGTTGATATGGTCTTTGATTTATTAGTTTATACGAATTAATTCTACCAAAAGGTTAATTATTTAATTTTGTGAATTTTGCTTCAATTTTGTATATATTTCTTTTATTTACTTAGCATTAATAATAATAATAATGTGTATAATACCCATTTCGTTGGTCACGGGGCAAGTCACATGGGAAAATTTAATGGCAGCAATCAGATAATGGTGCATGTCTGCAGTGACAAACATGTTTTTATTTTCTTCTTTAGACATATTTAAATTTTTAGACAACTTTCTACTTTCCACCTATTCCACAATAATGATTCTTGATTTTCAACTGTCAACTACGTACCCAGCAAGTCACGTGCCCAATTTTTGAAATGTTTTGCTAATTAATTAATAGATTTTTTTTTTTTAATTATTATTATAATAGATTTTTGGTTTGCTTTGATGAATATGAACACTGCCCATATCAATACTTCCTTTTATATTATTCAAGAACAAATATGTTCTGCAGGTTGCCTGATTATTTTTTATTTTCTATTTTTTTTAATAACTAGATAAAACATATTCTCAATCATAGTATTAGGAATTTTCCAGTTTTACTAAAACCCATCAAACCAAATAATTTTCAATCGAATTTTGGCCAATAACTAACCATCAATCGACGACCCATTAAAATTATAACGATAATTTCAACCGACCCATGTGTATTTGGATCTATTGGTAGTTGCTAAAATCTTAAAAAATCGGTTGACTGATAATACTCGACTAATAGGGATTTTTATTAAGTTATTAATTATGTTCTGTATTTTGTATTAAGGGCAAAACAGCCAAACATGTCTTAATCTCTCACCTTCAAATCTTATTAAATTATTCATTAAACCTCCGTTTTGTTAAAAATTACATACTTCTTCAACCTGTAACCTGATAATAATTGAACTAAAAAAAAATTCAAAAATGATCATAAATAATAATGAAAATATTTATTTATATCGGGTCATGTACAATAATTCAGTGTCTCCAACAATTAAATTATTTTTTGTTGCCTAGTACTAGCAGCTGGTACCCCGTTGGAAAGCTCAAAATTGGGTAAATGGCAAATTACACCCTGGAATTATACTCAATTGGCACAATGCACCCTAAAACTATTGCTTTTTGGCAGATTACACCCCACGAAAGGATTAGTATTGCATTTTGCACTCGTTTTTCCACTCGAAAGCAGCCCAAATTACGAATAAGGGCATTATGGTCATAACTTTGTTTTCGTTCATTTATAACATCAAACCTATTTTTATCTCTTAGCTACATCCATTACGATGAGTACTAAGAGCATGTTTGGCTAAATTCATAAGCTCTTTAAATATCTTATAAAATATTTAAGAGCTTATAAGTTATTAAAAGATATTTTGTTATTTTTAAGAAAGATAGTAGTTTTATTTTTGTTTTTTTTAATACCTACAAACCATTTTTTTTTTAATCTTACTTGTTAATCTACTAAAACATCCAACATAAATAATTACACTCAAGTAACTTATAAGCTCCATATACAAGATTATAAAATATTTTAAAATAAACTTAGTCAAACAGCTATTAATTATAAGAAGAAGTCAAGAAACTACAAAAAGCCCATGATTTATTGTTGACCCACGTAATAAAAAAATTGAACCTAACCGGAAATGACAAATATAACCCTCAATTTGTTATCATTAATATCCATCACCATGTATAAATTTGAAAAATAATAAATAATCTTAACTCCTAATATATGCTATTAATTATTAAACATATATATCATTATTTAAACAATATATGAAGTCAAACCTATACATTTACATTACTTTTACACCAGTCAACTGTAATATTTTCCACATTAAAATGTATATATATTCAATTCATATTATATTATATATATAATTAATTAATGGAGCTAGCAAGTACAAGGAATCATGGTGCGGCTTATATAAAATCAGCTCAACACTCCATACCAAAAATAAGAAAGAGCAAATTAATTAATTAATTAAAGGTTAAAAAGAAAAGCCCAAAAAATGAAGGGGTTTCATCTTCTTCTTCTTCTTCTTACAACAACTTTTGTTCTTTCTATTGTTGTCAAAAGTAGCAAGAAGAAACTTGTGACGACGATTCTTGTTTTCGTGTGTCCTCTGGTTTTGTGGTGTTTCTTGAAAAACACGTGGCTAAATCAATGGCGGATCCGAAGGAAGCTTCAACAACAAGGCATCAAAGGGCCGAAGCCTTCTTTTTTGTACGGAAATGTTTGGGAGATGCAGAAAATCCAAGCTTCTGCGGCCAATATGGAGGAGACGAAGAAGATGAAGAAGACGACGACGAATACCGATGAATTTGTTGCCCATGATTACACTTCATCTCTATTCCCCTACTTTGAACAATGGAGAAAACAATACGGTACGCCGCGCCTTATTCACTTAACTCTCGTTTGTATTCTTAAGCCTCGTTTGGTAATGAAGACTAGTCATGATTAACTAAAAAAATTGCACTTTGCTTGCCTGATGTTTGGTGTTCTCAATACCTCGCGGGTTATTCGTAAATATTATGTAATTATCATAGCTTATCTTCTCTTTTAGGAAACCTTTTGTTCGACGTCCGAGATTTTGATTAGAAAAAAAGGGTTTTTATTAGATTATTTAGTCTTACCTCGTTTAATTAGCTGCCACACGTGAGTATATAAAATTTTACTCAAAGATTGAATAATTGGAATTCTACTATAAATTTCTGACGAGTAAACAACATATTTCAGGTTGTATACCAGTTTAGTACTTAGTGGATGATTATCACTAATGATTAAAAATCAATTGATGTAAATAACCAGATGTAGCAAATAAAAAAACGTGTTCATCCCATACACCATTTCATAAATGAGCAATTGGTATTTATAATTTGCATCATTAGTATATTTAGATTAAAAAAAGTATATACATACATGCAATAAGTTTTCTATATAAAATATGGGATGACACATTAAATTAAAGTAAAAAAATAAAAAAAAAATGAAAATCTATTTATTAATTTATTAATTATATTTTATATATACATATATAAAAAAAAATGAAAATAATTAGGTATGAGTAGATGCATGCTCAGACAAGGGTCCCATGAAGGTGACGGCACCCAAAGCTTCAGTTGTACTAGAATGTATCTATACCACAATCTATGTGTGGTTGCTATAATAGGTACTTTTCCTTCCAATAAGCCACATTTTTAGTGGATTTTATTATTTCATCCACTTCAAACTAGAATAATACTATTCATATTACTTCACTTTTTTTTTTTTTAATTTTAATTTTAATAATTGATAATACATCACTTCCCATTAAGGAAAGTAAGTGAACTTAGGCTTGTAATAGATACATATATTCTAAAGTTAATTATTACTATTATTTTAACTTTCTTGAAAAAAAAAAGTACATCCATACCCTTCACACACATAAAAACAACTACATTTATGTTGAAGTGCGTACATCTTATCCAGTCCACGTTGGCGGATTTAGTCACAACTAAGTTTAAAAAAATCTGGGATTCGGGGGCAACTGCCCCTATTTTTTTAGAATTATTAATTAAAAACTGCTAAAATAAGTGAAACTTATAATGTCTATGTGGTTCTAAAATAGAAATAAATTGTTATAAAAGGATTATCTTTAAATTATTTTCTCATAAACTAGTGTTATCTATCTATTAGTGTTGATGAAATAATGAGGGAGTAGATATTTTAGAGATGCCCGAAAAAGGTGCCGAAAAGTTGGGAATACAGGGAACATGTTATGGGACTAGTGCATGTGCATTCACACACTGATGTGTGTGTCTGTGTGTGTGTATATATATATATATTATATAATACATAAAATATTATATTATATATTAATATTGTATTTATTTTAGTATTGATATTCCCTGTGGTTGTTTGCTCTCACATGGATAAGTGTGCATATTAACCAACACAATCTGGACCACCTTTGACCTAACTACGTTGATTTTTCCACGCTGTCCCAGTTCACTGCATTTGGTCCAATTTTTTATTGTATGGGCGTTCCGGGTCGGGTCGGGTCGGGTCGGGTGGGGGTCTCATTTTCTTGAAATAAAGAATTAGGATCTTTTTGAGAGATATTTTAAACCAATTCGGGTCCTTTTGTATAGTTCTTATTACGGGTTTCCTAGACATGTCCGACCAAGTGGGCACGAATATGTTTAGTATTCAAATATGTTACCGACTACTTGTAATATATTAAAAAAAAAAAAAAAAAGAGGAACAAATATGTTGGCGACTTTTCCAGTACCCGACCCAAATCTGAATAACCCGACCCGATGTACATCTGAATTGTGTAATGTCGCGTCAATTAAGTTATGGTAGTCGTCTTAGAACCAATGGATAGCTACACCGGAGCATGCCATCAATGACGAATCCACCAGGAATTGGTTTAAGGGTTTCAAAATTGAATATTATAATCGATTAGGGCTAGCGGTTATAAATATCGGATTAGATGAGATTGGAATAATCGTCTACAGACTAATTAATTATTTAGTTAGTAAGATGATCGGTTCACTGAATTCGAAATTGTATTAAATCGGTTAAGTTATGGTATTACATGTAAAACCTTTTATTTAATAAAATTAACATGTAGTTTGAATGATAAAATAGTCTTTTTTCTTTTTTAAAGAGGCCAGGCAATGTGTATTTTGCTAATTCGATCGAGAAGATTTAAGTAAGTTTGAAGCACAAATTATATTGCAGGTCCGGTTTACACATACTCGACGGGAAATAAGCAACACATGTACGTGAACCATCCGGAGCTAGTGAAGGAGATGAACCACTGTATATCGTCGGAGTTGGGGAAGCCTTCTTACATAACAAAAAGACTTGCACCTATGCTTGGGAATGGTATTTTGAGATCCAACGGCCACGTTTGGGCACAGCAGAGGAAAATTGTTGCACCTGAGTTTTTCATGGACAAGGTCAAGGTAATAAACTTCATTCTTCATCAAATTTAAACACTCTATACAATACATTTTATATATAAAAAAAAATTTAATTTGATCAAACATTGTAACCAAATTAACTATCAATTAAACAAATTATTGATAAGCAAATCGTGTCGGGTTATTTTTATGTTACACTGGATGGATTTTTTACGTTGATGTACACACACCAATGTTGATGTGTGTGTGTGTATGCTTATGAATAGTAAAGACGATCTACCCGATGTATTTCACTTGGTGTAGCATAATATAAGGAGTTAACCGCATTCGTTATCCATGTGTTATTTATATGGGTTTCAAAATATTCACATTCTTTTATTTTTCATTTCAATTTTTTGCAAATTTCTTTTAATTTTAAATAATCCCTTTATTTGGTAGAGTTTATAACATAAATATGTGCAAAATATTATTCACATATAGTACTTATCTAGAATTCTTTTGATTGTTTTATATCCTTATTAATTTTTCAAGATTTTTATATCATTGTTGTGCTTTTTATAATCTAATATTGAAATATACTTTCATATTTATTTTATATATAAAATATTTATAGAAATGGTAGGATTTTTTTGACAATTAGGAACAAATATAGGGGCATTTTTGCAATTCACTCAAAATGGTTTTCAAACTTCAAAGGGTATGTATATCATTTTATCTTTAATTTCTTTTTGCAGAATTAGAGGGTGTTTGGCTAAGCTTATAAGATGGTAAAATGAGCTTATAAAATGATTTAGAGCTTATAAGATCTTCCAAAGTGTTTGATAAATTTTTAAAAAAAGATCTTAATTTTTTTTAAAATAAGCTGTTGGAGAGCAAATAAGATCTTTTTTAAAAAATACATCTACCCCACCTTTTTATTTAAGATCTTATAATGAGTAAAAATAGGAAATAAGTTCATTATCTAAACACTTTAAAAATTAATCCTAAAAATAATATGTAATAGCTTATCAGCTCTAAAAACATCTTATCAGACGTAATAAGATGTAATAGCTTATCAGCTCTAAAAACATCTTATGAGACGCAAGAACTTATCAGCTGTTTAAACTAAGTTTAGCCAAACAGCCTCTTAGTGGCAGAACTATAAGGTAAGCTCTGAGGGTATTTTTCCTTTTATTTTTTATATCAGATAGTTGTTTATGCGATACTAATATCTGATGGTTGTTTTGAACAATTTAAAATAACACAAGGGTAGCGAATGCAAATATGAAATTAACTCCAATATCGAGCTATAACCTATATATACACGGGGAATTAGATACTACATCTGGTTATTTACACCAGGTGGATTTGATTAAATAACTATCCACCAAGCACACGTGCACATGGGTATGTGCATGTGATTATGTGTAGATAACCAGATGTAGTATCTAATTTCCTATATATATACTACCACTCTTTAGAAGCACAAAAAAACAGTCCGAGTTTCATCGAATTAATTAGTTATACATAAGAAAAGAGAAGGGACGATAATTGATCGATCGTAATTTGCATGTGTAAATTAAATGACAGGGAATGGTGGGATTGATGGTGGAATCGGCCGAGTCGTTGACCAACAAATGGGAGAGTCTTATCGGAGACGAATACGGTCAAACGACAGAGATCAAAGCAGAAGAGGATTTGAGAAGTGTCTCCGCAGATGTCATCTCGAAAGCTTGCTTCGGTAGCTCTTATTTGAAAGGCAAACAAATTTTCTCCAAACTTCGAACCCTCCAGAAGGCCATCACCACCCAAAGCTTCCTCTTCGGTTCCCATGCATTCGGGTATTTTTTTATTTTTTTTTTGTCGTCTCACTGATTCAATAAGCTGACAAACAAAATAAAAAAGTTCGTGACAGAATACAAAATATATATTGATTGTCATTTTTAGGTTGCAGTCGACCGGACAACGTAGAAAAATTGAGCATCTGGAGATCGAGATAGAAACGCTTATATGGGAAGCGGTGAAGGAGCGGGAGCGCGGGCCCCACGATGACGTGGAAAGTAAGGATCTGCTGCAGCTGATATTGGAAGGTGCGGTGAACAATAATGATGACGTGGGGGGCGACGATTCGTCCTCAAAGAGTTTCATAGTTGATAACTGCAAGAACATTTACTTTGCCGGCCACGAGTCGACCGCAGTTGCCGCGTCTTGGTGCCTCATTCTACTAGCCCTGCACCCGCAATGGCAAGAACGTATACGGGACGAGGTGGCTCAAATATGCGGGCCCCACGGCCGCATGGACTCCGATTCTATCCACAAGTTGAAAACGGTATGCAGCTTATTTATTTTTCTTCCAACAAACTTGCATGTTACAGCATAATTACATGAGCAGGGTTTATTGCATTTATCACCCCTTTGTTTTTCTCTAATTGCTAAAAAACTCTCATGTGTCATTTTAATAGCAAAGTGCCCTCTTATTCAAGTACATTTAACAAATACTACACTACTCGAAAAGTTAAAAAAAATCACTAACTAAAAAAATAGCATATATTTTCTGAAAAGTGGTTTTGAATCTACGCAGGTGACAATGGTGATTCAAGAAGTGTTGAGATTGTACCCGCCAGCAGCGTTCGTGTCGAGGGAGGCGCTTCAAGAAACCAAAATCGGCCACATTGTCGTCCCGAAAGGCGTGTGCCTGTGGACTCTGATCCCTACATTGCACAGGGATCCCGATGTGTGGGGTCCGGATGTGAACGAGTTCAATCCGGAACGTTTTGCAAATGGGGTCTCTAAAGCTTGCAAAATGCCGCAGGTCTATATCCCTTTTGGATTAGGCCCGAGGCTTTGCTTGGGCCGCAACTTTGCGCTCGTTCAGCTCAAAATTGTCGTGGCCCTAATAGTGTCCAAGTTCACATTCACCCTGTCTCCGAAATACGTACATTCACCTGCGTATAGAATGATCGTGGAGCCTGGACAAGGCGTTCGTTTACTTGTTCGACGATGTCGCGAATAGCTCCTCGTGTGGGCTACCTTTATATCTATAACTTTTGGCTACTAGTTTTAATTCAATTTGTGTAATATATGGTATAATATGTATGTCCAGCTTCAGCATTTGTTTGAAGTATTGAGTATTTAGTGATAGATTTTTCATCGAAACAAGGGAGATTTATTCATGTAAGGCTAATTAATTTATTCATTTAAAACTCAAAATTCTTTCTAAAACAAATAAGGGCACAATCGTAAATTTATTGTGTGATATATGTTAAGTATTTCCAAGGTATACCTGTTGGAATTTTGAAAGTTTTTAACTTTTAACTCTTAAATTGTGGGAGAATTACATTTTTAGTCCCTCAACTTTAGCCCAATTCTATTTTCATCCCCATGTTTCGAGGTGAACAAATTTAACTTTTCATTTACCAACTTATAACACTTTCGGTCCACTCCATTAGTTCACCGTTCGTAACTAACGGAAAATACCTTCTAGAGGCTTTGAGTTGATTTATGGATATAAATCGAGTTAAGGAATATTTTATTTTTAACTAGAGTAATTTATTACCTTGAAAATACAAATTTATTTTTATTAAATGTTATTCTTAATCTAGAATATACTAAATTAACTTCTTAAGTTAATTATGTAAAAAGTATTTGGTATTTACGTTGATATTTTTTAATTCAACTAATTTAATTTTAATCTATTTTAAATTAAAATTTTAAAATATATCTAATTTAAATAAAGGGGTTAATATGCTTAGGTCCCTCCTACCAAATTTAATTAGAACTAAATGACAACCCCAAACTAATTTTTTTAAATACACCCCTATTTTAAAATATAATATGACCCACATTCTAATTTTTTTTTATCCCTAATTTGCCCTTATGCCCTAAATATAACCTCTATTTACGTTCTTCCAGATCTGTTTCTCTTTTTCAATTCTTTTTTTCTTTCTCTCGATTCTTTTCTCTCGCTGCTTGCTCTCTCTCTCTCTCTCTCTCAATTACGGTGGGATGGCTATGAGGACTACATTGTTATGGAGGTTGTCACTGGACTGGTCACCGAGGCGTTTTTTAGATCGAATCTTGATGTGGGCGGCGGTGGTTCTCGTTGGTGGCGGCAGCGGCGGCGGTTCTAGTTTCTGGTGGCGGCGGCGGTGGTTCTGATTGCTGGCGGCGGCGGCGGCGGTGGCGGATCTGGTAGCTGGCGGCGGTGGCGACGGCGGTGGTTCTGGTAGTTGAGGGCGACGGTGCTTATGGTTGATGGGGGCGGTGATTTCATCCGACGGCAGTGGTGCTTTTGGTATGAATTTGATATACGTAGGGTATGGAGGAGAGGAAAGGCAAATTTAGGGAAAAATTAATTTGCTGTATAGAGGGTTTGTGCTTTTGGTGGGTAGGGTGTGTGCTTTTTGGTATGAAGTTGATGTATGTACGGTTTTTGTTTTTGGTATGAATTTGATGTATGCTTTAGTGCTCGACGTTGGGGGGATGGGTGGGGTTTGTGGCATTTTTAGTGGCGCGGTGATGGTGGCGTCGCAGATCTAGGGTTTGGTAGAGGAGATCTACGGTTTGGTGGGGCGGATCTAAGATTTTTCGATTTCATGTCTATAGATGTCTATTAATATCTATGGGTGTCTATGGTGTCGGACGGCTAGGGTTCAAAGGAGGAATTAGAGTTTTAAGAATACGTGAATACAGATTACTACAGCTTTCTATACAGCTTTCTACGAGTGTCTATACATGACTACGCACTACTACAGATTTCCATAGAAGACTACGACTGAGAAAAATTAAAAAATCATAATTTTCAATATTATGTTGAAAAAAAAGGAAAAAATACGAAAATGCAAAAAAAAATTGTTCTACGAAAAAAAATGAATAACAAAAATGCTAGATGCGAAAATAAAAATGTTAAAGGCAGAATAAAAAAAATGATAAATACAGTTTAAATATTACTTGGTGCATATTTCAGTTTTTGTATGTGGGGACATTTTTGGAATGAAATTTATAAAGGATGTGAAGCAAATGTTTAATTAGACTTGTCATTTAGTTCTAATAAGTTTTGTCATCAGGGACCTATATCTTAAAGCCCCTTAAATAAAAGTAATACGTTCGCACATGTCTTATGCGCAACTATATATTAATTATAGAAGTGCTTATAAATCAGACAAACTGATGCATATACGCTTTTAAAATTATAACTTCAAAGCAATTTAGTTTTAGAGTAGAAGTTAATAACCATTAAAAATAATGGAGGTAATTTAAAAAATACAAAAAAAAGGGAAGCATTTGTTTTTATCAAACCAAATATTTCTTGCTTTTATTTTGAAGTAAATTCGAATTTAGGGACTTTTACGTAATGTTTGCAAGAGTTATTGTAAATGCAAAAATTGATGATTATCAATTAAGCTTAAATTACTTATTTTTAAAAGTTGGAAGTGTCTGAAAATAACAAGAAACATCAACTTTTTTTTTTTGAGAAAAAGAAACATCAACTTTAAACACCTAATTTTGAAGTTGATGTGTTTACAAATTAACTCGAAGTTTTAATTATTTTGGTAAAATGTCTAAATTGTCCTAATAATTTGATTTTGGATTAGGAAAATATGAATGAAAATATCAAATAAAATTCCTAGACAGTTACATAAATGTTTTTAAACTGGAGTTCCAATGATACTTTACAGATTACGACTTAAAGTTGCTTATTATTAAAAATATAGAAGCAAAAACTATAATGTTGCAAATATTAATGGGTTTACAAATATTTTTTGAATAAGTAGAAGTTGATGCATGCGTATAAAGTTGAGTTTATTTTCAAAAATCGCAGTTTTAGTTTGCAAATTCTTTAAAAGATCAACTCTAAAACAAAAATAAAAAATAAAAAGCTACCTCATGCTTTTGGAAATTAGAGCTTAAAAATACTTTTAAGCGAAACAAAAATAAAAGTTGTTTCTACAAACACTTAAAACTGAAATAAGTCAAAACAACTTATAATCACTTTTCAAAAGCTTTTGCAAACACCATTTATAGGTTTGCAAAAACTTTTGTATAAATTCAAGGGTAAATTCCACTTTACCCCATTGTATTCTGCCCAAGAACCACTTTACCCCCTCATACTCTTAATTTCGTCGATTTACCCCCATGTACTTGTACAATTTCCCAATACAACCCTCTTCGTCAACTTTTTTCAATTTTGACTCTGACGCCATTTGGTTAAGAGTCAAAATATTGACTTAAATATTGAATTTTTTCGATTTTGACTCTCGAGATTAGAAAAGAGAAAGTTTCACACATTCATATATTTTTTTCTTTGCACTGGCTGGAATCGATCAATTTTTTGGTCTTGATTTTTACTAAGTTAGGGGTTCAATTTGGGGATATTTGGAAGGGGAAGTGATGGGAGAATAAGAAATGACAATATTAACGGAGGAGAAACGACGCGTTATAGGCAGTGGCAATTTTGTAATTTACAGAGTTGACCAAATGGCGTTAGAGTCAAAATTGACAAAAAATGAAGGAAATGACTGTATTGGGAAATTGTGCAAGTACAAGGGGGTAAATCGATAAAATTGAGAGTACGAGGGAGTAAAGTGACTCTCAGGCAGAGTACGAGGGGGTAAAGTGGAATTTACTCTAAATTCAAGTTGGTGACCGCGAGTTAAGTTGAAAATAAATACTTATTTTAAAAAATTGGGGTACTTTTTGCAAATTCTTAAAAAATCAACTTTAAGATGTCAATTTACAATAAGTTATAGGTGTTTGCAAATCAAATTTATTGTTCAGTTTATTCTGATGAAATGTCTAAAATAGCCATATAAAAAGAAGTTAGATAAAAACAACAAGGGTATGAATGTCAAACACCAGTCATAGTAATTCTCCAAAGTACATTTATTAAACTAACTTATTTTATTTTATATTAAAAAAAAAACTCGGTTTATTTCATTGCGTAGCTAATTGTGTGTGTCGAGAGAGAGGAGAGAGAGAGAGAGGTCGACAATGGAAGCTTTGCTCTGCAAAAATCTCGGCGACCCAACAGCCCCGCCGGACGGAGGTGAAAACGCGGCACTCACCGTCGCAACGGATTATCCGATTCCCCAACTGAAGTCGCCGACGGCGGTTCGAGTCCGAGTGAAAGCAACAAGCTTGAACTTCGCTAATTATCTGCAGGTCCAAGGCAAGTACCAAGAGAAGCCTCCACTTCCCTTTATACCCGGCTCCGATTACTCCGGCACCGTCGATGCTGTGGGACCCAGTGTCACCAAGTTCAAAATCGGCGATCCCGTTTGCTCCTTCGCCGCACTCGGATCATTTGCCCAATTCATCGTCGCTGATCAAGCTGAGTTGTAAGCTAGCTTTTTTAACCACTTTTATTCGAGATGTATGATTCGATTCGCACTGAGTTCTAATTATTCTAAACTTTTTCTATTGTGTTCGTGTTGTTGCATAATCATACAGTGATTTGCGTATGATAAGATTTAGGGTTTTGAAAGCACAATTTCTGGGTTTTAAATTAAAATTTCTTGGGCAAATGAAATTCTATAGAGAAATAAATAATTTATTGTTGGTAAATGTTATTTGCTTTAGGAAACTGAATTTTTCAAAGAGAATGGTTAATTTGTTCCAATTAAATTCTTATGCATTTGGAGGTCTGAATCATGAATATGTTAATAAAACTCTTACAGAACAAACAATGTCTACACAGTGGATAATCCATCATACTTGAACAGTGTCTACATTTTGATGCTGGCTAGTTTTTTTTTTTTTTTTTTTTTTTTTTTTTTTAATTATAAAATACAAGTATACTCGGAGATTATTTTCGGGTCCCTCTTCATTATTTGTGTTAGTTATTTGATTATTAAACTTATGTCGGAAATCTACCGTAGATTTCTGGTGCCTGAAGGATGTCACTTGGTTGCTGCTGGTGCACTTCCAGTTGCATACGGTACATCACACGTCGCACTTGTTCACAGAGTGCAACTCCACGCTGGTCAGGTTAGATTTCTAATCCTGCATTTCTTGCCCTAAAAGAGTTTAATACTCCATATTCGTGATTTCGTTCTGTAAACAATTCTGTGTTTGTAATTGAAAAAAAAATGTAGGTATTATTGGTTCTTGGTGCAGCTGGAGGTGTAGGAGTTTCTGCTGTTCAAATAGGCAAAGTCTGTGGTGCCATTGTTATAGCTGTTGCAAGGTGAACCATAAGACTCGTTTACATTACACTTTGCAAGTAACATAATAACATTACTTGTGCATGACGAAGGTTATTTATTTTATTTTTTTATGGTTTTTACGTATGGAAAATCCTTGTGGTGGTCTTGTGTTGTTGTTGCGATGTGGCAGGGGAGAGGAGAAGGTGCGGTTTCTGAAGTTGATGGGCGTGGACCATGTTGTTGACTTGAGCAAAGAGAACGTCATTGAAAGCGTGAAGGGGTTTCTCAAGGCAAGAAAGCTTAAAGGAGTCGATGTTTTGTACGATCCAGTTGGAGGCAAACTTACTAAAGAATCTTTGAAATTGTTGAACTGGGGAGCCCAAATCTTAGTTATAGGGTTTGCGAGCGGTGAAGTACCCGTAATCCCGGCAAACATTGCTCTCGTTAAGGTATTAGAGTAGTGACTTCCAGATGTTTCTAGAAACCTAGCTGCATTCGTTATGTTTTGATATTGCCGGAGTATTTGTTGTTTTGCAGAACTGGACAGTTCATGGATTATACTGGGGAAGTCATGCTATACATCGACCGCACGTTCTAGAAGATTCGTTATTGGAACTGCTGTCGTGGTTGGCTAAGGGCTTAATTACGATCAACATTTCCCATACCTTTAGCCTTTCCGAGGTGAGAAACAATTTAACTATTTTTTTTTTTTTTTTTTTTTTATAATATACAATGGAAACAGTATCTTTGTCGAAATCGAAAGAATGTTACGGAAAGACTTTCAAGGCTCACCTCGGGGCGTTTAAAAGACCTATCTTACCTCTTCGAATATAAACAAAAAATGCATGGACTTACATGTAATTGTGCAATCGATTTTGGTTATTTTGGCAGGCAAATCTTGCTTTCGGTGCCCTAAAGGATAGAAAAGCAATTGGAAAGGTTGTGATAGCCTTCGACCACCCGAAAGTCGTAAGACCAAGGCTTTAATTTGGCGTTGTTTGCACCATTAGCATCTTTTGTATGATGATGGAAATTTACAATGCTTGCCAACTAATGAGGCTGAGTGCATTTCTGTTTTTCGAAATGGGGCTCTTGGAAATAACATATATTCAATAAAAAGAAATCGAGGAGAAATCTGAATATCTGATTTGTTCTCTTTTCTTATATTTGATCCATTAGTCTATTTTTTACATGCTTATATAATTCATTCTGGGGAAGAGATTTCAAATGACATCGATTTGTCGGAAAAACGAGACACGAGAATTTGAAATCTATTGCAAATTAGATTCATCCAAACGAATTTGATGAATTTGTTATTAGTCGCATTTGTCTCTTTGATGTCTGAGCATATAAAATTTTTGATGAAAGAAAAAATAATGTAAATAGTGACCGACCACAAGAAATTCCCCGAAGGAATTTAACCTCTCGACCTCTCTGACGCAATACTACCGAGTTAAAGCTTCGGAGGTGTAAAAAAAAAAATAATGTTCTCATATAATGACAATACCTAAAACAGCTCCAACATAAAACCCATTAATGTATGATGTTCTTATAAACACAGTCAACTGAAACTATCATATGTGGGGGGTTATGGCAAATAAATCATTTATTATTTACAGGCGGAGAAATATTATGCAACGAATAGATACATGATATATATACATTTTAAGGGTCAATCGTCTCAATCGTAGAAATAAATGAAATGCTTAGTAGTTCATGGAATACCACCACCATAGATAAGTCATAGAGCCCCTATTGAAGTTTTGTTTCAGTTTTTAGAAAACGGATATATTCCTGCTGCACCATCTTCCCTCCATTCATCGGATCAAAGCTGCACCTGTAGAAACTGTTCGTGGTCCAATCATCAACACAAACCAAAAGATTAGCCGAATCTCGAGATTTTTCTGATGCTACAAAGTACTAACACAACTGACTGATGTAAAATTATAAGTAATCAAGAATTTAAATATCTTTTTACCTCCCATCCATGCCTGCAATGATTACAGAATTCTGTGAATCAAACGACGCGATAAACTGGGTACACTCTGGTAAGTGAAACTGGGCAAACGACCATTCTGAGCTGAAATATTTAGGTAAAACCCCTGTAGAATTGCAAAAGACGAGAGATTTAACAAACAATTCCAGTTTCGAAATATGGGATAGAATCACGATATCACATCAACGTTAGCATTCAGATAGTAAACGTTTGACATGGAATCAAGCATACTAAGAGAATAACATATAGGCCCATGATTAATACTTAAGTCGGGACTTCTTTTTTTTAGACATCGTGTTCTCATACAGAAATGTGACTCCTTGCATTCAGCAAGAATAGCAAGAAATCGACTAATATTGATTTCCTTTTGGATGAACGATGAAGTGCTAATGACCACCTGAGATCTAGTTCATAAATTTACTCTGTTCACCCCGTCCGATTCTTACTAAAACAAATACGTTATCCATTAATCAGAGTTGTGATCCCAATTTTCTTAGATAAGTTACTATATAGTAAGCAAATAGCAATAAGATCTAATCGAGAGCTTCTATGATCTAATCGAGAGCTCAGACCACATTACTCAAAATCATTTAGCAGCTTGATTTCACAGTTTCCATGGTTTAACAGCAGTGCGAGCCCTATCACTGGATTATCAGCACACTTGATTTGTAGAATCTCATTTCAAATGAAGCCACAAAATATCAATTCAGGCACCTCAACCAAGTGTCGAAGCCACAGTATTCAAGAACCTATTTATCAATAGAATGAGTTTCATATAAAGGATGGTTTTACCTTTCATGAAAGAGAATGACGAGCCAGGATTAGCACTGGTGCTTGTCGAAATTAGAGGATCAAGTGAGTTCGAAGAGTTCTGAGTAAATAAAGCTGGTCTTTTAGGAACAGTTGGATCAGTTGACGGATCCTGACCACCCACCCGCACTCTAAGACTAAATATGTGGATGGTACCTTTGTCACTCGACACAGCCAACCATTGAACATTTGGTGATAGAGCAATACTGCGTATATCTGCTTTGTCCACCCCTCTGCGTACCTATAGCAAGCAATGAGGGTTTATAAGAAAGAATGAGGAAACAAAACAGAAAACAAACCCGCAAACTATGTAACAGAGTAGTATTCAGCATCAAATTTGTGGATCTTTTTGTCTGTGTAAAAAGATATCTAATCAAGTGCAGCATATTTTTGCAAAGCTTAAAATGGATTCTTTATACGCAAAAATGGTAGTTTTTTTTTTTCAGAATGGAATATTATGCAACAGTAAAGGAATAAAAAGCAACGGTACCCACTCATTACTTATTTTTCGATATTTTTTATACAATAGATTCACCATCATGAAAGAGACAGGAGTAATAGAAAGCACAACTACCTCCTGTAACCGAGTGCCATCCATCGTGTTGAAAATTCTGATCAGAGTGCCTCTCATACTTGCAGTTGCAAGAAGAAGCCCATCCATCGTCAAGGTCAGACAAGAGATCTTAGAATCATGAGCATTGATTAACTTCGTCATATTCAGTCCAAAATGTTCGATGCGGACCTGTCCTCGTCGCTGACCGGGACAGGCCAATACAGACGCGTTCAGGTGGTGCGACAGACAACAAAGTCCCCTCGGATTAGCCAACGTTTCTATTTGATGAAGAAGCTTCAAGTCCATAAAATTATAAACGTATATCTTGTGCTCGAGAACAACGACAACACGATCCCTTCTCAGTTTAACCGCACGAACCTCGGATCTAAACGAGAACTCACCGATGCACCTGCTCTGATGATCATCCCATATAATAACTTTATTCGGAGGGTATTGGGTATTGGATTTACTACCAACAAGTCCTAATATGTTGCACCTGAATAGCATCTCGACAATCTTGAACCCCCCACTCTTCAAGTCGCGCCTGAATGTTTCCTTAAAGGGGTTGCAATTATATATGCGAAAACCGCGACTTGTACCAGCCGCGAAACAGCCGTAATCTTGATTCCACGACACGGAGTACAACTCGGTTTCGTTGTTTTCACCACAGTCAAGTTCTGGTTGGACAAGAGGGGCGGAAACCCCTCCCATCGAATCGTAAACACCAAATCCGGTAGGTGGAAGTATCCCTCTAGATGTCGAAACAGCCGAAGTCATGAGGCCTAAATTTAATAACATTCATCACAAAGCAATTAATTATAAGCTGCCAGCAAAACTAGAAGACCACTTCATAAATAAAAAAAAACAATAAATTAAAAAAATTAGATCTTGGGGCACATTAAAAAAAATATCGGAAAAGATTACAACTGCTGATTCAGTACATGCAATCTTAGCAAAAGACAAAATTCCGATTTCGCGATGATTAATCTTATTAACAGCAAAATTAATCAAAATTGAATAAATAACTCACGAAGCTCAATGACTATAGGATTCCCAGAAATTGGAAGCCGTCGAGCATAATTTCAATGAATTAATCACGAGACCTGCATTATTAATTCAATGATTGAAGGAATTAATTACGCTAAACGGAAAAAAAATAATCACGAATTTATTCCCCAATCAAAAGCCCTAAATCCCAACATCAGTATTTATGCTTATGAAGATACGGATTATAATTCGTATAGATGCGTAGTCGTAGGGTACGAAAGCTCACCTCACCTGCAGGTGCTGAAAATTAAAATTTCTAGAGAGAGAAAAAAGGAGGAGTTAATTTGAAGAAAATCAGGGGATGGAAAAAGTTCGAAGAGAGAGAAAGAGAGAGAGAGAGAAGGAAAAACGGTAGCGTATGAGGCTATGACACGTTGGGAGAGAAAAAATCAGCGGGTTATTTAAATTATTTAATTTGTGATGTATATTTGCAGTATTGCCAATGCCAGAACGTATTTTGTTTCGGCCGGTTCTAGTTTGCATGATATGACAGTTTTACCCCTGATTCTTCCTCTCGAACTATTTTGTCCAAATCTTTTGATTTGTTTGATTTTAGAACAATTTTTTTCGTTTTGAATTCCTATTTAGAAAACAATAGTAATCAGACCAGAACTGGGATGCATGTTAGATTCCAATTTTTTATTCAAATTTAATGTTGAAAATATTACTAAAATTCTGATTTTTTCTTTCAAGGTATACTTGCAATATAATTTTTTTTTTGTGCATTTTATATCATGAGCCATCTCAAAAAAAAAAAAAAAAAAAAAAGAATTTGCCGATTTCAATAAAAGTAAAATCAAAATTTGGGAACATTTTATTTATTTATTAATTTATTCTGATTTTTTTATTTTTCAAACCATATTTAAATATTACCGAAAAATTCTAAATCTTTTTCGATAGTGTAAAATTTGATCCGATATATCTGATTTTTACCACTAGTCCTGGATTCAAGTTCTACCAAATTCATCTATTTATACATAATAGGTAATGACCATATTTTGCACTTTTCGAATTTCTTTTATCGTATTTTATTGATTGTTTTATCCTATTAATTAAAAAAAATAGAACTACATAACAATTAAAGAAACACTTCATGACAAAGGACGAATGATTTCCAAGTTGGAAAAGATAGAATCGTTGCGGGCTATGGAGTCTAATTAGTTTTAGATTTAAGTAGTTAGAATACTAGTAGATCTTGGAGTATTACTTAGGGCTGGGACTGGGTTGGTTTTTATCCACCAACCGACCCATTACTGACCATATCTTTAGGCGGATAATCAATTTTTAACCGACCCATTGGACCGGGTCGAAAATTTCAACCAACCCATTTATAATGGGTCGGTTGGTGGTTTCTAATATTATCACAAGTTGGTTGACCGATAATTATCGGTCATCCAACTATATTATTAAAATTATATTAAAAATATAAAATAAAGGCCGTGTTTTCTTAAGTGGTTATGAAATTATCAAAATAAATAGTATTTTAAATTTTAAAAACAATCAACAAAAGAAAAAAAATCGACCTAAATCTTCCACCAGTTTTTTTATGCCCAAGTTTAAACAAAAAGCCCACAAACTCCACTAAAACTCTTCTGTATATTTGAAACTATTTTGAATTTTCTGATTCTATTTTTCGTTAAAGTGTTATTAATTATTTTGAACTGATAAATGATGATTCCACCGTGGCATTATGCAGAATGCAGATATTTTTACTCCAAAATTTGATTTTTTTAAGTGGACTAGGTTGCGGGTATAAACCATCAACCGACCCATTCCGAAACTAAATATTCGGTTGTCAACCATCAACCGACCCACAAAGGTTGGGTCGGCAACGGTTTTCAAATTTTAGCAAAAATGGTTTGACGGATTGGTCGGTTTTTAGGCTGGTAATCGACCGACCCAACCCAGTCCCAGCCCTAGTATTACTACTCCATCCATTTCAAAATAAGTGTCGTTTAAGGTTAATGCACACTAATTAAGAAAGTTAATAAATACTCTTAATTTTGGAAAAAATAGTTCATATTTGACAAAATTAACCCTTTTATCGGGTTTTTTTTCTTTTTTGATGAAACCCTTTTATGGCTTTAAATACCTCTTTATTAGTTCATTAATTTCTCATTAGTTATAGGATAAAATTGAACAAAAGAAATATCGTCGTATCTTGAAATTCTGAAGTGACACTTAAGATGAAAAATAAAAATTTTATTCATAAAAACAAGACTTAAAAAGAAACGAAGGGAGTATGGCAATTTTCTGTTTCCTGAGTTTAATTAGGAGTTGTTTCTTTTAGTAGTAGAAATAGATGCAACATGATTTATTTTTGATGACGTTATTTTTATTTAAATAAAATTGAGAGTTTTCTCATATTTCTGGTGGATTTTGTAGTGGTGCTTTTTTTTTTTTTTTCTTTTGAAATCTTCACTTCAAACAAAAATCAAGAAAAAAGTTCAAACTCGAAAGATCCCAAATATTAAATACCCTTAGAAGTAACTGCAAAATATGAAAGAAGTAGGAGCTCGCTTCCAAACTAAAAAAAATCCCATTGTGAGGGTAAAAATGTCCATTAATTAAATTTAGTTTTGGGTCTAGATCTGCTACTCCCAATAACACTCATTTATATACCGATTACTGATTCAAATAATATAAATAAATGTAATGAAACAAAGAGTGGAAAAAATGGCATAATTTGATTTGGCAAACCGTTTCCACTTTCCACGGTTGAGTACCTGTCTATTATTTGTAATCAATAAATTATGCACGTTCGTACTCAAAATGGCAAAATGCTATAAATTGAATTTGTGCAGGTTGATTCATTAGTATTTAGTAGTAAGGGTAGGAATTGTACGAAATGAATCGAAAATGATTTTTGTTTTGTAAAAAAATTAAATTTTTTTCGGAAGTAAAATATGGGTTTCCAATTTATGTTCCAAAAAATCAGAACGCAAAAATTCATTCCAATTCAGGAACGCCTCAGAATCGGTGAATTTTTTAAAATTTGAAAATTACATTAGTTTATAATCTCTTGTTTCGAAATTCGGACACAATGCGAATTTCAACATATTTTTCTATATTTTTTACAATTTTGCAGGAAAATACAAGTAATTTCAAAAGAGGGATAAATTGCAATAAATAAAACCACATATAGGAACAACAAAATGAAGCATAGATTTCCTGATAAAGAAAAATACAATAAAGAGTTTTTTTATACCAATTAATATTTTCTGAGCATTTAATTTACTTGACCTTTCGTATCTATATTTTCCATATATAATATAACATAAGTTAACACATGGAATTACAAAATATATCAGAAAATTGTATTATATATTTCAAAAAACAATTGAAATATTTGGAACTAAAATCGGATCATAAAATTCCAATTATGTTCCAAATAAATTCATAAAAATCAGATATCGAAACTTCGGAAATCGAAAAGTACAATTCAAATAACTTTGGATCAAAATTGACAGAATTCAGAGATTCCATTATGATTTTCATCCCTAATTAGTAGGGTTCAGACTTTTGTTATAAACGAAAAATAAGGCTAACAACAAAATTCGAATTTACGCCTTACAAAATGTCACATTATTTTTCTCATTGATATTCAAATATGGAGAATCCATAAAATTAATCATGCTATAATTCTGAGTTGAGAATCAATTTTAATTTTATAAGGTGAAACGCGAAACAACGTATACTTAAATCTTACGTGTGCGTAATCGATCATAATTGAACATCTAATGGTTCGTTTGCTGATTTATTAAGAATATTGATTTCTTTTTCTTTTTGGAAAAATAATAATATTAATTATTAAGTGCATTTGATACCAATATTTGAATGAACTTCAAATACATCTTTGTGCTTGATAAATAACACCTCAATGAATTCAGGACACACCATCAAATACTTTCATTGTTTCTAATTAATTTCTCTTCATTTTTTTTTTCTACACTACGTCTCTTAAAATTTATTAAATTAATTTTAGCAAAACTACATTTTTTTATTTTTAGTAATTTAACAGCTGAGAATGATATTTATTTTTATTCCATGAACATTACAATACATAAAATTTAATGTGCATCAAGTATTTATTTCAGGGTGAGGGTCAAAGAAACCGATCCAATGTCGAATCGGGCCGGACCAGGTTCGAGTAATTGGGCTTTAATGGGTTCATGTGAGAGCTTTACTTTTTTCCCAACTGCCCGTGAAATGATTTATCACCACAATGTAACTAATATATTAACAATAATAAAAAGGATAAATTGTGAAAAGAATTTTCATGCTTGAGCAATTAGAATTACATTCTCAACTATGAATTTTCCTACATGTCGATTCTTATGGTGTTAAATTTAACAGAATTTTCTATTATGTGGAATATTCTCTAGTTTGTACTCGTTTTGTACAAAAATATAGTCTCTGTGATATTTACAAGCCAAGAGACACATCTAAATGTGATATTTGTCAAAATGTGGAGTTCAAATGGATACAAACTGAAATTTTTTCACATAATCTAGAAGATTTCACTATATTTGACACTGCAGATTCATAGTTGGAAAGGTTGTTGTAATCACCCAAACAATAGGAATTTTTCATAATTGGACTTTATTAACTTTTTTCCTAATTAATAACAATATAAAAAGAAGAAATTCAACTTTCCCCCCTTGTACTTTGGCTAGATATCACTCTACCTCCTTGTACTCTCAATTGCATCGATCTGCCCCCTTGCAATTTGGTTCGATATCACCTTACCTCTTCTACTCTCAATTCATTGATTTGAACCCTTATACTTTGGCTCGATATCACTTTACCCCCTTCTACTCTCAATTGCATTGATTTGCCCCATGTACTTGAAAAATTGTCTCAATGTGGCCTCGCCGTCAGTTTTCAGACATTTGGCTTTAACACCGTTTGATGTAAGTCTGAAAATTACTAAAATGTCACCCCTCCAGTTTAAAAAAAAAAAAAAAAAAATAATAAAAAAAATAATAAAAAATTCAAGATAGCGAGAAAACATAGTCCACGACGTCAGCCACAATTTTTTTTTTTATTAAAATTATTTAAACTGGGAGGGCTGGCTGTTTTGTAATTTTCAAACTTAAATCAAACGGTGTTAAGGTCAAATGTCTGAAAACTAACAGCAATGGCCACATTGAGACAATTTTTTAAATACAAGGGGACAAATCGATACAATTGAGAGTAGAATGTGGTAAAGTAATATCGAGCCAAAGTACAAGGGTGCAAATCGATGAATTGAAAGTAGAAGGGGACAAAATGATATCGAACCAAAGTACAAGAGGACAAATCAATGTAATTCAGAGTACAAAGGGTAAAGTGATATCCAGCTAAA